CGCCGCCGCCGCTGCCGCCGCCCGCAGGTGTGTGCCGTGGAGGCGGCCTGGGTGCAGGCCATCATCCCGCGCCTGGAGAACATCGACGTCAACCGGCTGAGGTGGGGGGCAGGGAAGGGCTGCCCATGCTGGCAGGTTGACTGCGCTTGTGGGCCGCTGTGCAGGCTTCCCGGCGTGTGCGGGCAGCTGCTGCTGAGCGCCGGCCGCGGCCCAGAGCGTGAGCGTGGCACAGCCTGACTGAGCATTGGCACATCCTGGCTGCCTGTGTCCCCTCTGCAGCGGCGGCAAGACGGGGCAGGCGGCCATCGCCGCGGCCGAGGCCAGGGCCGCCGGCACAGAGGCGGCGGAGCAGCAGCGCTCGGCGGCGGTGGAGCGGCGCAACACGGGGGATGCGGTGGCGGCGGCACGGGCGCGGTACCTGGCCCGCAAGAAGGCCGGCCGGTGACGGTGCTGCGGCTGGCGGCGACAGCGCTTGCTTGCTGCAGGGCCGGCTGGCTGGGGGCCTTTCCGATTGGTGGAAGCCCCGTGGCAGGCCGCTGGTAGGGCGGCTGCAGCCCACTTCTGAGCCAGGTGCCTGTGCGGCTGTTGGAGAGGTTGAGGCTTACAATAGCAGCGTACGTGGGAAAATGGAGGAAGAAAGTAGTTTGACTCTCAGTCGTTGTGGCTCGGCTGCATGGGGCCGCCGCTGGTGGCTGGGGACAGCAGCGGCAGGCGCCCCACGCTCCTCAGCCCGCAGCAGGGGCTGGCCCACGCAGCCCGCGCAGGGAATGGCTGCCGGGGTGCGCGGGCAGCGGCGGCCGCCGCTCTACTCGCCCGCCGCCGTGCTCTCCCGCTCCCGCTCCCGCCGCTCCTCGCTCGCTCACTTGCTGCCGCTGCTGCCGGGCTGCGAGGTGTCCAGCGCGCCGCTGCTGAGCACGCGCGGCACAAACACCTGCGCCTCTGCGCTCAGGTGCGCCCCCAGCGACAGCTTCTTGAGGCTCGCCTCAGCCGCCGTGGCATCCGCCAGGGTCATTGCCGCCAGCGCCGAGAAGGGCGTGCTGCCCTGCCAGGAGGGCGAGGAGGGGTCGGCGCCGGGCGCCGCCCCGCCGCCGGCGGCGGGCGCAGGCGTGGCTGCGGGGGCAGCGGCCGCGGGGGCCGGGCCGCGCAGCGCGGCGGCGGCGGCGGCGGCCGCGGCCGCAGCAGCCGCCGGTTCCTGCGCCTGCTGCGCCGCCGCCTGGCCGGGGGCCTCCCCGGCCTGCTCCTCCTCCACCTCCTCTGCCGCCTCCTCGGGCTCGGTCTCCGGTTTAGGCTCCAGGCCCGGCAGCGGCGGCATGATGGCGTGCGGGCGCGGCAGCTCAAAGCCGCGGGTGCCGTCGGGCCCCTTGGCAATCTTGGGCTGCTTGTGGCTGCCCAGAGTGAGGTTGCCAGAGTAGCGGTTCTTGTAAGGGTTGACGGCGGGCACGGGGGAGGAGGTGGGGCGCGGCGCGGGCTCTGCAGGGGGGTGGGGGGCAGAACGGAGCAAGCGGGCGTCGGCGCCTGGGCCGGCGGCAGACGCGAGGGGGGGTGCGCCTCTGCCGGCGGCAGCAGCACAGCAGGGCGAGGAGGCTAGCGGCGGCGGCAGCGGGCGCCTCACCCGGCGTGGGCGGCAGCTCCGGCCCCTCCTTGGTGCGCCGCACGCGCTGCGCATTCAGCTCGCCGCTCTTCATGTTGGAGTGCAGCACAAAGGCCACCTCGTCGCCCGGCTTCAGCAGGTACTGCCCAGACACCTGCAGCACGGCGGTACGGCGGTGCGACCTTGGGTGTGGGAGGCGGCCTGGGGGCAAGCGCGCCACGAAACGAGCGGCGTGCGCCGCAGGAACATGACAGCGGCAGCCAGCCGCTGTTGTTGCTGGCGCCCACCCGCCGCCTGGCCCCACCCACCTCTTTGAAGTGGAAGAACAGCTTCTTCTTGGGCAGAGGCGGAGGCGCGGCGGCGGCAGGGGCTGACGCCGCCGCCTCCACGGCCCCATCGCCGTCGGCGCCGGCCTCGGCGTCGGCGCCCGGGGCCTCAGGGGCGCCCTCCGCACCCTCGCCCTTCTTCTCCTCCGCCGCCTCCGTAACCTCGCCCTCTGCGGCCTGCTCCGCTGCCGGCGTGGCAGGCGCGGCGCCATCCGTGGCCGCCGGGGCCACCTCTGCCGCCGGCGCGGCGCTGTCCGCCGCCGGCGCAGCACCGTCTGCTGCGAGCGCGGCGACGTCTGCCGCGGGCGCAGCGCCATCTGCGGCGGGCGCCGCTGCCTCCGCGCCCTTGTCCGCCACAGCGGGCTCGTCGCCGGAAGCGGCGGGCGCCGCCGCGGGCGCCGCGGCTGCCGGTCCCGCCAGCAGCTGGTCCTCGCCGTACAGGATGAACCCAAACTGGCGCTCGCGGTTCACCTGCGCCACCGTACCGCCGTACCGCACCATGCCCACCTCCACCGCGCGCCGCCCAGCGTACTGCGCCGCGCCCGGCACCGAGGCCAGTGCCGCAGCCTTAGCGGCCTGCACCCAACCAACGCAGGCGGCAGCATTTGGTGGGTGAGCAGGCGGCAGGAAGCGGGCGCCGTCATCGGGCCAGCCCAGCAGTTGACAGCCACCCAAAGCTTGGCAGACCCAGCCTGAGGGCGAGCTCGAGGCGACTGCAGGCTCCCAACATGCCCCACCCAGGCGCCCGCATCCACACGCGTGCTGCACGCCCCCCGGCCCGCCGCCCCCGCCTCGCCTGCAGGTTTGTGGCGATGCGGAAGGTCACGTGATCTCCCTGGCGCAGCGCGCCGCTGCCCTGCTGCACGTCCTGCGGCGTGAAGGGCAGGCGCGCCTTGCCCGGCAGCAGGCCCGGGAGCATGCCGGGCAGCAGGCCGGGCGGCGGCGCGGGCGCCTCCCCGCCTCCCTCCCCCTCTGCCGGCGCGGTGCTGTACTCCAGCACGCCGCTGGTGCCCATGTACTGCAGGCGGTACAGGAAGGTGGTACAGGTGGGGAGCGGGAGGGCACGTCAGCACGCCAGCATGCCAACACATGATGCAGGCAGTCCTCCTGCCCAGCGGTGCGTGGCAAGCTGCTGCCTGCCCAGCGCCGCGCCACCCCGGAGCTGCCTATCGCTGCAGCTTGGGCCCTTCCCAGCCAGTACACACACACACATACACTCCCCCTCTGGGCTCCCACCTGCTTGCCGGCGATGGGCCGCTCCAGTACCACCCCTCGCAGCAGCTCCTCCCCAATCACCTCAAACACAACCGACCCGGGCGGCGCGCGGCGGATCTGCGGCGCAGCGCAGGCGAGAAGGCAGCGGGGCGGGGCGGGGTGGCACGAGGGGCACGCGCAGGCACACGGCGGCGCCGCAGAGCGCGGGAAGCGGCTGGTGCGGTGCGCAGCGCCGGCGGTACCGCCTGTGCCCCCTCACCTGTACCGCGCTCAGCTTCCCCTCCCTGTCCCGCCGTATGTTGAACTCCACATCATCCCCCACCTGCACAGGCGGGGCGTGGCGCAGGGTCAGAGCAGGGCAGGGGCAGGGCAACTGGAGTGAGAGAAGAGCAGAGCAGAGCAGCACAGGGCGACCGAAGTGAGAGCAGGGCACGCCAACTGAGGCAGGGGGGTGGGAGCGGCTCGCGCGGGGAGGGCGCCGTCGGCGACGGCAGGGCCGGCAGGCGGCTGGCCGCGGCAGCGCGCGCGGCGTGCGCAGCGTGCGCAGCGCGAGCAGCGCAAGCCACACCTTGACCCCCTCGGCCGTCCAGCCATCCAGCTGCGAGAAGTGGAAGAACATGTCTCCCGGGCGGTCCACCTGTCGGATGAAGCCAAACTCCTTTTTCAGCAGCGCCACGCGGCCCAGCTGGCGCCCGCGCAGCGAGTCCCCTGCCTCGCTGGCAGCCAGAGCAGCCTCCGATGACGGCGTGGGCTGCAGCGACTGCAGGCCGGCCGCGGGGGCGGGGCGGGGGCAGGCAAGTGCGTGTGAGCGTGTGCTGCTGGCTAGCCGAGTCGGTGAGGCTCGCGGACGGCGGTCGCGGCTGAGCATCCAAGGCGCCGCTGCCAATCGATCGACCAGACACCACCGCCGCCACGGCAGCCACTGCCGCTGCTGCATCCATCCATCCATCCATCCCCATCCATCCATCCATCCAGCCAGCCAGCCAGCCAGGCAGCCACACCCACACCACGTCTCACCTTTGACAGGAAGCGAACGTCGTTGGCGAGCTTGCGGTGGCCCGAGGCGGCCCCAGGGTGGCCCCCCACCTCAAACTCAACCACATCCCCGGGCTCCAGGCGGGGCGTGCCCTCTGCAGGCGCAGCGGCAGCACGCATAATGAAGCATAGCCGCGGCAGCGGTGCGGAAGCGGTGGCAGCAACGACATGCCAGGAGCCGCCGTGACCGCCGTGCGTGTCTCCCTGCCTGCCTGCCCGCCTCCGCGGCGCCGTCTGTGCAACAGGCCGGGCGCTGGCCCCTCCGCCCCCGGGCCCGCCGCCGCCACCCAGCCGCGCACCTGCCAGGCGGAAGGTACCGTACCGCGCCTGCTGCTGCTGCCCGTCTTCGTCGATGTACAGCAGGAGGCCGTCGTCCATCTGGTGGTGGCGCCCAGCACGCGCCACCTGGCGGCAGGCACCGGGCAGGGGCGGGGAGTCACGCACAGCACAGCACAGCACAGCACAGCACGGCACAGCACAGCACACGGGGCAGCTGCCATGCAGCGCTGCACACTGCACACTCTGTGCCCGGGCCCCGCAGCAGGCAGCCACCTGCGCCACGGTGCCGCGGTAGCGCGAGGGCTGGGCGGGCTCGCCGCCGACTGTCGGGGCGGCAGAGGCGGTGGAGGCTCCGGACTCGGAGAGGGCTCCAGATCCTGAGGCCTGCAGGCAGCATGGGGCAGGGGAATGCAAAGGCTTGAAAGCCGGCAGGCCCAGGAGGCCCAGGGCAGCACGGCCCTGCCGCGGCAGAACACACACACCGACCATGCAGCCCCACCAATCCACCCCTACACCAGGCAGCCAGGCAGGCAGCTCGCGCACCGCCAGCGCCGCCGCGCTGCTGCGCCTCGACTGCTGCTGCTGCTGCTGCTGCGCCTCGGCGGCCTCGCGCTGCGGCAGGCGCCAGTCGCGCTGCGTGGCGGGGGAGGGCTGGCGGTGGTGGCCAAAGTGCTCGAACCCGGTGCGGCCGTAGGCATCCTGGTGCTGCTGCTGCTGCTGCCGGCGCGGCACCGGCTGGCTGGGCGTGTGAGCGTGGCCCTGGCCCTGCGGCTGCTGCTGGGGCATGCGGTGCTGCTGGCCACCTGCGGGCGCCTCGCCGCCATTGGCGGCCGTGGCAGCGGGGCCGGCCTGGGCCTCGGCAGGCGTGCCGGCTGGCGCAGAGGGCGAAGGCGCGCTGCCCTCTGCCGCAGGCTGGTGCTCAGGGGTGGAGGGCCGGCCGGGGTGAGTGCTCGCGGCGCTGTGGCGACCGGGGCCGGCAGCCGCGGGGCCCACAGGGCTGGCGGCGGCGCCGGCTGGGGAGCCCGCAGCCAGGGTCTTCACATGATAGGCGACATTCCTTGCGGGGGTCCAAATCCTTGGCCCCAACAAACCTGCGGGAGGAAGGAGGACAGGCAGGGGCAGGCGCAGGTTGGGCGGGAGGGTGGGCAGGACTGGGCAGCGCGCCGCCGGCGCGGATGCATCCCTCGCCGCTCAAACCTCCCGCGTCGCTGGCGCATCCTGCGGATGCGCCCTGTGCCAACCAACACACACCACCTCTGGGTGGCCACACACACACACGCACACACATGCACACACATACACATGCACACACACACATGCACATGCACACACGCACATGCACATATCACCAGCACGCACACATATACGCGCGCGCACACACCTGACGGTTGACCCGTAGGCGGCGCCGCCGTCAGAGTCGTTGACATGAAAGAAGTATCGGCCCTCGTGTGAGGTGCACTTGATGAAGCCAAACTGCGGCACGGGGCGGCATGCGCGGGGGTCATGGGCGGGGGTGAGGCGGGCCGGGTTGTGTGGGGAAGGAGTGGTGAGGGGAGCCTGGGGCATCGCTCGCCGGCCGCGGCTCGCCGGCTGTGGGGGCGACGCAGCGGCGCAGCGGGATGGGCGTGGCACCAGCGCCGCGGGACAGCGATAGCTGCGCCAGCATGGCGCCAGCATGGCGCCAGCTCACCTTCTCCTGGCGGGAGACTACCAAGCCCTCATGCTGCTCTGCCCCCTGGGGCACCTCGACAGTGTGACGGCCGCGGCGGCTGCCGTCCATGCTGCGGCGCGGGGTGCCGCCGTCCACGCTGCGCCTGGCATCCCCGCCGCGCCGCGCCGAGCCGCGTGGCGTCATGCCTGCCGGGCTGGCGGGCGGCAGGCCGCTGGGCAGCGGGCCGCCGTCGGCGTCGCGCGGCGTCTGCGAGCGGTGGGGCGTCGCCGCGCTGCCGGGCTGCTCGGCGGCGGCCGCGCCGGGGATGGGGATGGAGACAGACAGGCCATTGCCAGCCTGGGGAGCACTCATTGTTTCTGCAGTTGCGACGCGAGGGGCAGGCGGCGGCGGGTGAGCAGGGCGGCGAGCCGTTGCTGGGCCATCAGCGCCCCATCCGGCGCCCGGCCTCAGCGCCCGCTTCCCAGCATTCATGCTGCATTTACGGCGAGGTCCTCGCTGCCTCCACAGCTCGCCGGGTTTGTGGCCCAACGCTGAGGGCAGACTGAGAGCCTGCATGCGGCCCCCACCGACCTGCGACAGCTCGATTGGGGTGTGGGTTTCGTCACCAGCAACGCCTGGGCAGCGATGCAGGCGAAGTCTGGAGTGGGCTGGGATGGGGGGTGAGCGGCCGCCTTGTGCGGTCGCCACGAGGGGAGGAGTCAGCGGCTCAGAGCCCAGAGCACACCGCCTGGGCAATGCGCGAGCACGGCAATTTGGCCACACGCTGGGCCGACCTTCTTCCTGCTGCTACCTCATGATTACTTGCAGCGAGCGCAATGCCAATCCACCATCGATGGCACGCTGCCCAGCACATGCAGAATGCGCTGCTCCCCTTGTGAGCCAACCTGCCTGCACTGTTGCGAGCAGGTGCTCTTGCAGCGCGTGACGCCTGCAGCACAGCCAGGAGGGCCGCCAGAGGCTGGCAGCCACCTGTGCAAGAGAGCGCCAAACGGCCTGACGGTGCTGCACGCTGCGGCGCTGGTCAACACCCGCGCTGCGGTGGCGTCCGCGCTGCTCGCCGGAGCTTGTCCGACCGCCGAGCTGGATGGCAGCCAGAGCACATTCCACCTGCACATGCTGCTGGATGCCTGCGGCATAGAGCTGACCGATGGCAAGAAGCCGAGCCGGTTCTACAGCCGGCTTCGTGGAGCAACTGCGCTCGAGACGGCCGTGGCGTTGGGGCATGTCGAAGCGCTGGCCGCTCTGCTGGCTTTCGGCGCGGCAGTGCGGCGGCCCCGGGCCTTCTCGTCTCTGCTGGAGCACTGCCCGGCAGCAGCAAGAGACCGGGTGGCCAGCTTGCTGGTGGCTTCTCAGGTGTGTCACCAGCATTGCATGAATCCATGGCTGCCTGTGCCTGTGCCTACCATCTCCCAGCTATGTGTGCTGGTCGAGGCATCGGCCCGAATCCTTGCCACCTGCTACCCCACTCACTTACTCAGTGTTGGGCCCCCCATCTCGCCCTGCTGCAGGCCTGCCCCTCTGCCCTGGTGCCCCACTGGCCAGCCAGCTACGGGGCAGCCGTGAGGGCGCTGCTGGGCAGCGCTCATCGCAGTCGGCGAGGCTTGGGCACAGCTGATGCCCTGCCGCCTCCTCCTGATCCGACAGACAGCCTCCCACGTTCTGAAGCCGCAGCTGCAGCAGCTGGCGCCGAAGCCACAGCTTCTGGCAGTTTGCAGGCTGCCATGCTTGCAGCGCTGCCACACGAGGTGGTGCTGCGGATAGCGGTGCTTGCTGCCGTGCCCCTCTCGGCTTGGTAGCTTGCAGGTGGCCCCGCGTTTGCTGCCTGGCCCTGGCCTGTACTCTCGCATCCCTGTACGTGTATCAATATTATATTCATTGCTTGCCTGTTGTGATATACTTCGCGACTTGAGCCATCTTGTCATTGGTATTTCCTCTCTGTCGCACTGATTCTGGCCAAGCAATTTTGTTTCATGCTCGATACAAGAATTTTGGTGGCAGCAGCCGCTGCACATTTCATGCATTGTTCTCCAAGCTGTGGAAATTAGATTCTGAAAGGACTGCAGCATATCATAATCAAGGGCACGATAGGAGCCCTGCTAGTGTACAGTAGCATGGAGCCGAATAGGAAGAAGCGAGGATGGATTCAATCATTGCTGTGTATAAGTTGTCTTCAGTCAAAACTGGCGCCGTGACCGGCCTGCCGGCATGCCCCGCTCGCCTGGCGAAGCATGCTACTGCACTGGGATGATGCGCGTGCCGCCTGACTGCACAGGCTTCCGCTGGGCAGGCCTCTGCTGGGTGCTGCCGCTGCTGGTGCCGCCTGCGGGCTGCTGGTTGGCCGCCAGGAGCGCCCGGAACTGCTCCGACTGAGCCCAGCGGTCGATCTCGCGGGCCCGCATCACCGGCAGCGGGTGGGACAGCGCCCGCGTCTGCGCATTCCTGCGGGAGCGGCGGCACACGGCAGCGCCGGGACAGGCAATGTGAGCGCGCGAGGCCCCAGGCTTTCACCCCAAACCCCCAACCAGGCTTTGGGGCTCCCTGTCGAGGGCATCGACGCAGCCAGCTGCACAGCAGTACCAGCTGCTTACCGCAGGTACCAGCCCACGGGGGAGGCGGTGGCCTCGTCGTAGCTGCGCGCCTGGCGCAGGAAGGCGTCGATGTTGAGCTCCCCAGCCAGCGACGGCGACCCGCCCGCCAGCTTCATCAGCGCCGACACCACCACCTTGCTGCAGAGCCAAGCAAGGGGGAGGCAGCCGCGGTGGGCGGGCGCTGTGCGTTGTGTGTGCAGTGGAGAGCGGGCTGCCGGGACGGGGCCCGCGCCTGGCAGGCGAGCCGGCCTGGCAGGCCCCTGCCACTGCCACACAGCCCACCAACCGCGTCGTGCCTCCCCAACACACACACACATCGCCCCCACCCGCCCCTGCCCCCACACCTGTCTTGCGCCACCAGCAGCGCGGCTCGGTCGCACGTCAGCTCCGCGGCCCGCAGCCAGCGCAGGAGCCCCTCCTCCACCGCCGACGACACCACCGGCAGCAGGCTGACGGTGCCCAGGGCCAGAACGTTGGCCGCGGTGAGCCACACGCCGTGGTCGCACTTGAGGTGGCCCAGCTCGTGGGCCAGCACCGCCTGCAGGGCGTGGGGCCAGGCATGCGCGTGGTGGGCGTGCACGCGTGCATGCATGCGTGTGTGCGTGTATGCGGCAGGTGTTCGGAAGCGGGGAGCGGGACATGGGGCCACGCCCGGAAGCGGACAGGCTGCATGGAATGCGCAAAGCCGCCAACCACCAAGTTCACCCACAAACAAGGGGCCGTGGGCATCCAGCCCGGACACCGGGGCAGTCGGCAAGCCGGGCTGCGGGCAGCCGGCGGCGCCCCCGCAGCCACCGCCCACCTGCACCTCCGCCGGCGTCAGCAGCTCCAGCAGCGCGGTGTGCACCACGATGAAAGGAGTGCGCCCCGCAATGGCCAGAGTGTAAGCATTGGGCAAAGGGTTCTGAACGCGGGGCGGCGGCGGGGAGGGAACCAGGGGGGCAGGCAAGCAGGCGGATGGATGGCCCTGAGGTTGAAGCGGTGCTGAGGCTGAAGCGGCGGCATGCAGTGCACCCATGCGCCCGAGGCCACAACTCCAGGGCAGGGCAAGCACCCCAGGGCCCCAGCCCGCACGCGCATGTGTCCTCTGCACGCTGCTCACCCGCCTGCCTGCCTGGCCCGGCTCCTCACCTGCCGCACATACAGGTCGGGAGCCTCCATCTGGAGCATGGCGGCGGCCTCGGTGAGCAGGCGGTGCAGGCTGGGCAGCTGGTCGGGGCCCGCCTTGATGGAGGTGCCGATGTTTTCCAGCAGCAGCACCTGCTCGGCCACCGGCCCCATCAGGTTGCGGGCCACCAGCTCCAGCCCGGGCAGCACCCTGAGCAGCGCCGTGTTCTGCTGGTCCAGGGGGTGCTGGAACTGGGCGGCAGACAGGCCCCTGTACGCGGCCACACGCCGCCGCGGGCCCGCCGCCGCGTGCTGCTGCCAGGCGGTGGCCGCCGGCACGCCGCCGACGCCGTCGGCGCTGGCGCCCGCTGGGGGTGCGCCGGTGCTGGGTGCTGCTGCGTGCTGCTGCTGCTGCGGCCAGGGGCTGCTGGGTGCGTCTTGGTAGGCCTGCAGGTGGGTTGCACATCGTTGTGGTGCGTCACGCACGTAACGCAGCGACTGAGGCGGAGGGAGGGAGGCGGGCACCGGCGGCAGCCCCTTGTGGGCCGGCGAGTATTCCTCACCCTGACGGCCAGTATGGCCCTGCCCTGGGCACTGTGCTGTGGCCGGCGGGCCAGGGGGAGCGTAGCGCGGGCCCTGTTCAACAGCCGCACCACTCCCGCAGCGCTGCAGGCTTTGCAGCCAAGTACCCTGCCGATGGGCGTCACGTGCATGCGGCTGGGCTGGCTGCAAGCTCCCTGGAGGAGGGGTTGGGTGGCGGAGGCCACTGCAGGGGCGATCGCAGGCTGCAGACCGATGACAGCGGCACGCAGAGGCCTGGTGCTATGATCTGAAGGCCTGCCGACACCAAGCTTGAGGCTTGCATGGGGCTGTCCCTTCCAGCAAGCCGAGATGATATGATGGCAGCCCATCCTTCTGTCTGCCGCGATCGCAATTGCCTGGCTTTTGTGTCTGGTGTCTCAGGGTCTTGCAGCAAGCGGCAGTGGCACAATGCAGCACGCTTGTGGAATGCCCACAGCGGCCTTTACGCCCGCCACCAGGCCTCCCAAGGTGGGTGGTGGGCTTGTGGCTGCTGTAGTCAAGCAGCGAAGCCCCCACGCGCCCCCAAGTCACGCTCAGCCGAGTCCCACCCGCTGCCCACTGCCGCTCTGCTGCCCTCAGGCCCGCAGCAGCCCCGGCAGCAGCAGCCTAGCAGCCTCCCAGCAGCAGCAGCAGCGTCCCAGCCGCCCAGGCCGAGTGCTGCGCTTGTCGGCGGCGGCGGTGGCAGCGGCGGCGCCGCCAGAGGCCCCCGTGCTGCCCTTCCGCGTGGGCCACGGCTGGGACCTGCACCGCCTGGAGCCGGGCTACCCGCTGATCGTGGGCGGGGTGGAGATCCCACACGACCGCGGCTGCGTGGCGCACTCAGGTGGGTGGGTGGCTGGGCCTGGCGATGCTGCATCCAAACTACAAGCGGCCGGCTACCCGGATCACCTGTGCGGTGCTCCTGGCCAGCCTGCACCCCTGCTCGTGGGCAGGCTGCTCGCACCCGGTCACCCCGCTGCCGACGCATGTGCCGCCGGCGCGAGTTTTTAGTCCGGGCAGCAGCAGCCTGCCAGACACGCGCACTGCCCCCAACCGGCAGCCAGCCGACGGCCGCCGCTCTTGCCCTGCCTTGCCCCGCCCGCCCCGCCCTGTAGACGGCGACGTGCTGCTGCACACGGTGGTGGACGCCATCCTGGGCGCCCTCTGCCTGCCAGACATCGGCCAGCTGTTCCCCGACACCGACCCCAAGTGGAAGGGCGCCCGCAGGTGGGGGGAGGGGGCGCCACGCGCAGCCTGGGCCGTGCGCAGGCCGCCGGGCAGGCTGGGGCTGTGCGGGAGAAGAAACAGAGCCGCCGCGCCGCCGCTCCCCACTCCCTGCTCTGCGCCAGCACACCGCCCCCGCGCCTTCAGCTGTGAGGGGCGTGCTGCCAACAGGAGGCCAGGCCAGATCGTCGCCAACACCTGGCCTTCGCCCCCCTCCCCACCCCACCCCACACCACACTCCATCCCGCAGCGACATCTTCCTGCGGGAGGCGGTGCGGCTGATGGGCGAGCGCGGCTACGCGGTCGGCAACATCGACTGCACCATCATCGCGCAGCGCCCCAAGATGTCGCCCCACAAGGAGGCCATCCGCGACAACCTGTGCCAGATGCTGGGCGCGCACCCCAGGTGGGCTGGGCTGTGGGCCGGGCTGGGCCGGGCTGGGGTGGGGTGGGGGGCAGGCCACTCTCGCACGCGCTGCACACATATGCGTTTTCCGCGCTGCGACCAGCGCGCACCCCGCCCTCCCACCCGCCATGCAATCCTATGTCACGCTGCTGTCCCCCCCTGCCCGTGCCCTGCCCTGCCCCGTGCCCTGCCGCAGCGTGGTGAACATCAAGGCCAAGACTCACGAGAAGGTGGACAGCCTGGGGGAGAACCGCAGCATCGCCTGCCACGCCGTGGTCATGCTGCTGAGGCAGTGAACGCAGGGCCAGCGCCACGGCCGCCATCTGATTCTGTTGTGGGCTCTCTCCGTCTGACTCGGACCATATCATTTGTAACTCAAATACATAAACTATGCAACAGGACTTGCGCCACGATGCGATACTCAAAGCAGCGCTGCGTGAGCTGCCCGGCGCTGGTGCTCCCTCCGCGCTGCCGCTCCCTGACAGCCCCTCGGCACTGGCGCCGCCTCCAGACTCCCCGACCCTCATGGCCCACGGTTCAGGCGCCCCATGCACGCAGCGCCGCTGCCTTAGCACCCTGCCACCCGCTGTACAGGTTGGCCGTCCCTAGCTGCATGATGCCGGCCTGGTTCAGGGGCGGGAACCAAAACAGGCCGACCATGGCATGCACTGCACCGTGGGGGTGGACGGACGCCAGGTCAGCTTGGCCTCCTTACGTGCCCCGCAGAAGGGCTTGATGCCCAGCGGCCTGGGGTTCAAGATTCAAGCAAGCAAGCAAAAGCAGCCCGATGCACCCCGGGGCTGCGCTGCTCACACAGGGTGAGCGTCAGGGCGGTTGCGGCCCACAGGGGCACCACGATCCCTGCATCCCTGCAGCCATGGGTGCAGCCGCAGCCACAGATGCCAGCCTCGTCAGCGTGTGGCGACCGCCGCAGCAGCTGCGTGCCGCCCCGCTGGCGCTCCTCCGCCCACCTGAGCGCCCGGCGGCCGACATTCTCCCCCACAATGATCAGGCCCCACAGCACAAAGTGCCAGAGCCAGAGAAGGTGCGGTGTGAAGCGGCCGGTGTAGTACCTGCAGTGAGTGGCGGCTGGCAGGGCAGGGCGCTGAGGGAGGGGAGCAGGCACAGCGGCCCCTGCCACAAGCTAGCCTATCTCGCACCATGGGTGTGCACCAGACATGCTGGCAATGCGCCTGGGCCTTGGGGGGGTCACCCTCCCATGGTGGAGGAGCTGCCCGCCGATGCAGCCAGCACAGGCGTGCCCCGCCCGGCTCACCAGTAGAGGCCCTCATGCACCAGGCCGCTGACAAGAAAGGAGGCCAGCACTGCCACCATGCGCCGGGCGCGGCTGAAGGCGGGGCCAGGCTCGCCGGGGCGGTGCACCAGCCGGCCTGCGCATGCGTGGACCAGATGTTTCAGTCTGGCAGCGCGCTGTGCATTTCCGGCAAAGTGGGGCATCTCGCCATTGGGAGCAGGGGGCAGCGCAGTGACCCTGGGCCAGCCAGCCGCACCTTCCATGATTGGATTGTACACGCAGCTGCGGAGGCAGTTGGACATGATCTGGTTCCACCTGCTTGCCATTATTCCAAAAGGGGCAGCGCGCTGGATTCAGATGGAAAGCAGCATGTTCTGCCATGCAGTGCGGAGCGTGCGGCAGGCCATGGCAGCATAGCTGTAGCGCAAAGCTGCTCGTACACACGCTCACACCCTGCACCGCACCAGGCCAAACAGCCCACCTTCTGTTCCAGAAGTCTGCCACTGCACCACAAAGGGGTAAAGGTCACTGCGTGAGGGATACGGCATGGCTGGTTGAGCCGGAGCGCGTGAGCGGCACCACATCCATCGCCCAGGCTGGCATGTGCTCGAGAGAGGCGGGGAGGGCACCTGAGGTGCAGCCGTAGGGGCTGTCAAAATGTGGGGAGATGGGCAGGCGCAGCGCGGTGCTGACCAGCGCCGCCAGGCCGTCGCAGCTGATGGATAGCACAAGGTACATCGACAGGGCTGCATGGGGTGTTGGGGCACAAGCGGGGGTAAAAGGTGCGGGGAGAGGTGGCGAGCGCTGCACGGGGATCCCCTCCGGAGGACACATGGCTGCAGGGCTAGGCATGGTGCCAGCCTTGCACAACAGCCAAGGCGCCAGGGCAGACCGGCAGGGCTGGCTCACTCTGGACCAGCAGCTGGGGAATGGGGGGCAGGCGATACGTCGCCAGCACCCACACCACGCCCGCCAGCAGCACGAGCTTGCGCACGAATCGCCAAAAGTGTATGCCCGCTGCACAGCACAGCTCAATGGGGCAGGCAGGCTGTTCAGTAGCCGCAGGACGGGTTGCCAATGGCGCCGACCAGCAGCAGCAGCTGGCCCCCCAGACTGGGTGCGTGCCCCTCGCCTGATTGGGTCTGTGCATCCCCCAACCTTCCCTGCGCTGGCCCCTCACCAGAGTAGGTCTCGTGGGTGCGCCCCTTGCGCCTTGCCTTGGCCTGGGAGGCCGCCGCCTCGCGCTCCGCAGCCTGCTCTGTGGCAGATGTGCTGGTGCTGCTCTCGGCAGGAGGGATGGGTTCAGGTGCTGCGCATGCACGGCGTGGGGAGAGAGTGGGAGGGTTGGCGCCGAGCCCGGGGGGGCGGGGGCGCGGGAATGCAAATGGCAATGCACACACATAGCTGGGTGAGCCATCCAGCCCACCTTCGGCGGGGATGATGGGCAGTGCATACACGGCCAGGAACTGGGCGGGAGTGAGGGGGCGGCGCAGGCAGCCGCGATTGAGCACCCAGCCGAGCACCTGCATGCGGAGGCGGATGGTTGGGGCAAGCCCGGCGCAACCTTGGTTTCCCATGGGTGGCAGGTGCCCGCTCGCCTCCCCCGCTGCCGGTGCGGCGCCTGCATGCCCCCCCGCACCTTGAGGTTTGCGATCATGGAAGTAAAGATGGCGACTATGAAGCAGGTCACCACCTCGTCCCCTCCAAACAGTAATGGCACGATGAGGTTGGCCGCCAAGAGCGGCGCGGCGGCCGCCAGGCGAGGCGTGCCGGGCGCCTGGGCCCGCTGCCTCCACAGCAGCAGCCCGCTGGCTGCCACCCAGCCCAGCCACGCCGCGACACGCTGGAGCAGGGTGAGCCCGGCCGTGAAGTGCAGGGGCTGGTGCGGCTGGAAGGTCGACATGCTCGAACCCTTTGGGGTAGGTGGCGCAGCAAGCCTACTGCCTGTCTTCAACCTTTGGAGGGTCGAGCAGTCCACAAGAGGAGGAAACGGCTTTGGGTTTTGAGGCCGAGGATCAACCTTGAAGTACACATGTACTGTGCTTACGATTTTTAAAGGATGGACAAGTCACGAAACATGAAATCAAACCCTGTGAATCGGACAGCCCAGTTTGGACCCGAAGCTTCACTCGAAGCCTGCCGCCGCCGGCGTACTGCCCGCCAGGGGAGTGGGGCCATCAAATGCTGCTGCTCATCTCCGCGCTGCTCAGCAGGTCCTCGCCCGCTGCCGCCGCGGTGATGGCGTCAGCGATGCGCTCCTGCAGCGGCGCCTGCCCGCCGCGCTTCTCCAGCGCGCCGCTCTGCATGCGCGCCGCAGTGTGCAGCAGCGGGCGCGGCGTGGCCCCTGCGCCCCGCATCCACGGGTGCTCCAGCACCTGCTGGCAGGTCAGCCGCTTGGCTGGGTCCACCACCAGCAGCCGGGAGACGAGGTGGCGGGCCTGCCTGCTGACGTGGCGCCACTCGGGCCCCTCAAAGTCGTACTGCCCCTTCACGATGCGGCGCAGCAGCTGCACCTCGCTGGCGTGGAAGAAGGGTGGCACGCCGCTCAGCAGCATGTACAGCACCACGCCGCACGACCAAAGGTCCACGGCGGGGCCGTAGGCGGCGCTGCCCAGGTCGGGGTGCGCCAGGATCACCTCTGGTGCCATGTACTCTGCGCAAAGGGGTGGCAGGGGGAAAGGGGTAGGTGGCTGGCTGGCTGGCGACGCTGGTGTGATGCGGCCCCGGACCCCAAAGCGGCCGCCAACCAGGCCCTCTGTGCCAGCACCAGTGCCACCCTGGTGGAGAGGGAGGTGGCCGTGCTGGCCAACTCGTCACAACAACCAGGCAGCCCACCTGGCGTGCCCAACATCGTTTTCATCACGCTCAGCTCGTCAGCGGCGCGGGGGTGCTTCTTGGCAAACCTGGAGGCGCCGGCAGCGGGCCAGCCGGAGGCGGCTTGGCTGGCCAGGCCATCACGCAAGTGCATCCCTCGCCCTTCCCGCCACGTCGTGCCGTCTTCATCACGTGACTGCACGGCAGCTCACCCAAAGTCTGCAATTTTGAGGCTGGTTATGTCTCCGGGGCGGGCCAGCAGCAGGTTGTCCAGTTTGATGTCGCGGTGCACTATGCCCCTGGAACGGCCAGGGATAGCGTGGGGAGGGGCCAGCCAGCTGGCAACGCGGCCAGGAACGGCAGCGGTGCGCAGGAGCGGGGCCCAGGCCCGTGCTTCGATGCCCACCGCAAGCACACAAACTCCCCACGGCCCACCACGGCCCGCCGCAGGCCGAGCGCTCACCTGCTGTGCAGGTGCTGCACGCCGCGGATGAGCTGCTGGAAGATGGTGCGCGCGTCGGCCTCGCTGTAGTGCCCCTTGTTGATCAAGGCGTCCAGCAGCTCTCCGCCTGCCACACACACGTGGTGCCAGCAAGCGCTGGCCATGCCGGTGAGGGACCGCCAGCGCCACTCGGCCAGCAGAAGCCCCGAACCCACCTCCCCGGATGCATTCCGTGCACCGTAAGCAGCGGTGCGCGCACCCGCGGGAGGCGACGCAGCCACCGTGCACATGCCATGGGGAGGCGCCACCAGGGCCCACCTCTGAGGAGGTCCATGATGAGGTACACCCGGTTGCGGTGCACAAAGTACTCGCGCATGGACACCACCGACGGGTGGTCCAGGTCGAGCAGGACGTCGATCTCTTTCATGATGAGGCCACGGGCGGTGCACGCGCGGCACTCCTCGCACCGCATGGGCCGCGGCAGACGCATCACCTTGCACGCCACCTGCTCGCCCGTGGCGCGGTGCGTGGCCAGCTTCACCTTGGAGAAGGCGCCCTGGCCCAGCGTCCTGCCCAGGTGGTAGACCTCCTCAACCGTCGCATCCATGCGCAGCTTCTTGCCGTTCCTGCGGGGCAGGGGCGCGGCCAGCCCCGGCGCCTCGCCGCCGTCAGCGCCCAGCAGGAGACGGCGCTGTAAGGCCTAGCTGCGCCGTGCACGCGCAACTGGTGCATTCGTGGGTTGCAACGACTCACTCTGGGTAGACGCTGAGTTCCCTGCCAACCGAGGCGGTATCGTGGGGGCTCTGTTTTGAGCTCCACGCTCCCATACTGCCCTTTCCCCATTCAGCGAAAGCAGATCACGACGTGAAAGAAGAGGCTCGAAAGTCTTGGGCACTCTCGCAAGCTCTCGTCAGGTGGCTAGAGCAGGGAATCTCCGGGAATCAGTCGCGAGCGTCTTACAATCCAGAAGTGCGAATCCAGGGTGCATCCCGGACCCTGCTGTCGCGCGTGGAGGCGCCAGGCTGCGCTGGCGCCACTTGGCGGCGCTGGCGCCCCAGGACTGTCGAACTGCAGGCTAACGAGGGCAGCTCGTTACAAGATTTCAGCAGTGACAATGGATGCTGGAGTCAATGATCATACTCAAGTATTCACATGCGGGTCAGTCAGAGATGCACATTGGTCCGGAATGTCGGGACCGAATGTGAAGAAGCCTGGCTGCCTAAAGGGGGGTGGATCAAGAGGGGGATTCCTATGCAATGTCCAGTCTGTGTCGAAGCTGTGAGGGTGGTATGCAGTGTCTGGAGAGGCTAGCGGGTTGTGATACGGGTTGCGCCAATGGGCACATGCCTGCCCAGGTGGGCGGCTATCTCGCGGCTGCGCCCCCCCTGCTGCTGCTGCTGTGCGCCGCCGAGCTGCTGAATGTGCAAAACCCGGGGCGGCGGCCTGAGGGCAGCTGCAGGGGACGCGCCTGCATCCACGGAGGCATTACAGCAGTCTTAAACTCCATGCACTGCCCAACATGGCCGCCGCCCAACCCAGCCACCACCGACAGCATTCTTCAGTGCCCCAGCAGAGGCCTATTTGCTGCCCGCACCTGTGTTGCTTGAGCGTGCAGTGCTGGGGCGGCCACGCCCGGCCCGCGTCATCCGGTGATCAGGGGCACCAGCGGCGTGAGCGGCATGGGCGCCATGAGGCTGAGGTTGCGCTTGTGGCTGCCCGTGCGCAGCATCTTCTTGGTGATCTTGGTCTGAGGCCAGGGCCACTCCACAGTGCAGTCAAACCTGCGGGGGCAAGGAAGGGTGGTGCAGGAGGCTGGGGCGGGCGGCGGGCGCTCAAACAGCCAGCCGGGCGCCGCCACGACACCATCCCGTCAGCCAGCCAGCCGCACCCCAGCGCCACCACCACCACCCACACCTGCAGCCGCCCCCCCAGGCTCACCAGGGCACCCAGTTGGACTCTGAGCAGAAGGAGAGGTTGAAGGGCTGGTTGGCCCAGAAGGCGCACGTCATCTGCCCGCTCTGGGGGCTGGTCACATTGAGGCATCCGCCCGTGGAGTTGCCGGCGGGCGTGAAGAGCGCGTCAAAGCCGTAGGAGCCGGCGCCCTGCAGGGGGTGCGCAAGGAAGCGTGCGGCGGCAAGGGCGTCAAGACCCCGCTGGCGACCCAGCGGCAGGCGCCGCCACAGCGGCCGTGGCCTTGGCAGAGCGCGGGCACACGGCTGACTCATGCCAAGCGGCGCATGGGGCCCGAACGCCAGCCAGCCAGCCAGCCAGCCCTGCTGCTGGCACCAGCACAGCCCGGCCCGCCCCGCCCACCTGCACAAACACGGCGGTGCCCAGGGCCAGCTGCATGCCCGACACGGGATGGTTGAAGGCGGCCAGGCTGGCCACCGCCCAGCCCAGGGCGTAGTGGTGCAGGTGGAGGTCAAAGGAGCCGCTGCCCGCCAGCGCCCCAAACCAGACGACGAAGTAGAGCAGCACGGCGGAGCGCGGCAGCAGGTAGCGGCGCAGCGTGGGGAGGCAGCGGCGGCGGCGCGCGGGGCGGCGCGCCGGCTTGGCCGCCGCCCGCGGGCTGCCGCTGCCCTGGCTGCTGCCGCCGCCGCTGCCGATGCTGCGCTTGTCGTCAAAGGTCGAGAAGGAGTCCTCGGCGCTGGGCTCGCTGCCCATGCTGCGGCTGGTGTTGCTGCCGCCGGGCGAATCGGGGGCTGCGGCAAGCGCCCCTCCCGCTCCTGCGCCCGCTGCAGCGGCCACCGGCGCCGCCTCGGGCGCGACGGCGGCCCCCTTGCAGTTGCTGTCGGCAGGGTGGCTGGCTGGGTAGGTGGCCAGCCAGATGTGGAAGGCTATGGAGGCAATCACCACCGCAGCAGCTGCACTCAACAGGCAGGCGCGGGCAGGCGGCAAGGGCGGCACATCAGTCACGCAGCGCGTGGCATAGCAGGCATGAGGCTCGGCCTTGCGGTCCCTCCAAAGCGTCTGGTGCTCCCACGGGACAACAAGCGCACAGCAAGGTTTGAGTTGCTGTGCAGCAGGCACGCAGCAGCAGCGTGCAGAGCGCAAGGGCCTCGGCGGCGGCCGAGAGCAGGCAGCGGCAGCATGCGGCGGCGCGGCAGCTGCGCAGCGGCGCCGCCGCTCACCGGACGAGACCACGGCGATGGCTGCGGCGCTCCAGGTGCTCAGCTGGCTCAGGCTCTCGTGCATGGCCGGGATGGAGGAGATGGCGGAGTAGGCTGGCAGCATGGCGGCATATGCCACCCACAAGTAGGCGCGGCGCCAGCTGGCCAGCCAGGCAAAGCGCGCGGGCCTGGTCACGCCCGCCAGCCAGCCCAGGCCGCCGCCCACAAAGGCCAGGGAGGTGAGGGTGGAGTAGACCTCGGCAGCGTCCACGGCGTCGCAGTCGTACGGCAGCCCGCCGGCGCACAGGCCGCGCTGGAAGCCGTAGCCGGCAAACAGCAGCGCCAGCCAGCAGGCCTGCAGCGGGCGCGGCGCGGGCCGTGCATGCAGGTGGTGGGCACAGTGGCTTGCACAAGGTGCAGCTAAGCAAACAGCGCAGCAGCAGCAGCCACGATGCGGCGCATGGGGCGCCGCTCACCAGGCGCAGGTATGTGTCGCCGGGGGCCAGCGTGCCGCGGCAGCATGCTGGCTCCTCCTCGCCGCCGCCGTCGCCCTCGCCGTCCCCAGGTACTTCCGCCACCGCCCTCTGCTTCTTCTTGCCTTTGCCAGCCTGGCCGCGCTTGGCGCTGGCGCTCGCCGGCAGCGGCAGCGGCTCGCCCAGGCTCAGCTGCACATGGTCGCTCTCCGTCCGGGCCAGCTGGCTGTACCATTCGACATGGATGCTGGAGTTCTGGTGCGACAGGGTGCGCTGCAGGCAGGAGGGCACACAGTGGGCGGGTTGCAGCGGGGCAAAGGGCGCAAAAGAGTATCGGCGCAGGGGGCGCAAGGGGTATCGGCTTGGCGGCGGCAACGCAAGCGCCGCCAGCGCCCGCCTTTGCCGCTGCAGGGCAGCCCGCAGGCCCGGCGGCGGACCCTGACTGGCATCTTCAACGCGCTGTCGGTGTGCCAGAGGCCGCAGCACACCTCAATTGGCGGCTTCTTGGTACCCAAGCTCGCGCAGGCAGCAGGGCTCGTGCCCACTCGCTGCACCTCGGCGCCGCGGCTTCCGGGCACCACCGCCATGCTTCCATCGCCATCTAATGGCGAGAGAGTGCCCGAGGAGGGAGCCGGGGAGAGCGGTGGCGTCGCAGGGGTGCCTCCCATGTTCAGCGACATGTGGGCAAGGCAGCCGCTGTCGGGCCCGCCCACTGCGGTTCTGATGGGCCTGGGACGCGCCGGCGAGTTGGGGTCGGCCGCAGGAAGAGGAGAAGAAGGGTAGGTGCGTTGTGGGCAGTAGCCACTGGTTTGCTTCCCGGCACTCAATTGGCTTGCCGCTGCGCAGGAAGCTCTGGCATGCACAATGACAGAGGATGGCAGGCGTTCGCCGGGGTTTGGGGGACAGTAGGCAGCTTCGTGCTGGGCCTGGCGCGCCCTCAAACGCGGCTGACTCTAGGAGAGCCTCTGTCAGTCTCTGATTCTGCCGAGTACTGCATGCTGAGTGTCAATGCGATCAATTATACTCCATCCCGCCGCGAACCGCGCCGCCCCGAGGAGGTGCGCCGGCGCCCACCGCCATCACCGACGTCGGGCGCCGTGCAAGAAAAGCCGCTGGCGTCTGACATGGTGCGCATGCATGAAAGTTACATGTGCATCAATTGCCCCAATGCAACAACGCTGCTCAGCTGCTGCTGCTGCTGCCAGTGCCGTCGAGCGGCGCCGAACACAACGGGCACGCCGGCGGCCGGCTGTAGTCTGTTGATGCCAGGAACCATTTGTCCACACACTCCAAGTGGTAGCGGTGCCCGCAGGGCAGCACGCGCAGCACGTCGCCTGCACACACGCTCGCGCGGGATCAGCCATGGGCAAGCAGACGTCAGCTGGTGCACACACTTGATGGCATGCCTGGCGCCCCCCTCCCCCACGCCACCACCGCATCCTTGCACGCCCCAGCCCCAGCACTGCAGCTCCCTTTTCATAGGCTGGTCCCACCCACCACTACCACCACCACCACCACCGACGCCACCAGCAGCAGCACTGCACGCCCACCCGACTCGTAATCCTCGCAGCAGATGGAGCAGGAGGCGGCGCTGCTGTTGCCGCCCTCCGCCCCGCGCTCAACCAGCTCCCGCTTCTCCAGGCAGTGCTCGCACGCCACGCCGCGCTTCTGCGCGCACGCGGGCAGCAAACGGCTGGGCGTGGTGCGCTGCTATGGTCCAGGCACATCAGTGGAAGCCGCGCCCTCCTCCAAAAATCGCCACATCCCTCATCGCCAGCCCCCACCGGATCGCCCAAGCCACCCCAGGCCCCCCACTGGCCTCCCTGCCTGCCCTCCCTCCCTCCCACCTTGAGCAGCTGCTTCAGCTCCGCCACCGACATGCGCTCCAGCTCCTCCCTGCTGCGGTACGATTCCACGGGCAGCCCCTGTACCACAGTGCACACCGCCCGCGCAGCGGTCAGCAGCCACACACGGGCCAGGGTGGCTGTCCGCCTTCCTCGACCAGCGGGCGCAGGCTGCGGCTGCTCGCCCCCTGCCCGGTCCACTTCCCACTACACGCGCCCAAACCACACCCACGCCGCGCCAACACACGCAACCGCCGCCCAGCCCAGCACAAGCACACCTGCATCAGCTTTGCCACGTGCTCAATGCGCTGCGAGCGGGTGCGAGGAGCAGGGCGACCGCCGTGCTGCGCACCACCCCGGCCCGCCGCCTGCCCCCAGCCGCCGCCAAAGCCCTCGAGGAACATGCGCCGCAGCGTGACGCCAAAGCCATTCCTCCGGCCCTGCGGAGGGCAGGGGGCCATCAATCACAGTGGGCACAGCGGGGTCAGCGCCAGACAGCAAGAGGGTGTGTGCAAACAGAGCCAGAACAAGCCCAGGGCAGCAGCAGCACAGTGAAAAGAGTGGTCTGCGCACCGCCACGACCAGCCTCATCAGCAGCACGGTGAGTGTGGCACTGACGACCATGGAGGTGAAGGCCACCAGCGTTGAGGACACGAGGGACGTATCGGCACCCTCGTCGCTGCTGCTGCTGCTGCTACTGCTGCTCCTCCCGCCGCTGCCGACGCTGCTGGGGCTGCTTACGCCGCCGCTGCCGCCGCTGCTGCCATCGTACACAAACACGTTGCTGCTGCCGAATCCAAACTGTACGGGAATGCAGAGGAACGGAGAGTTGACAACAGCAGAGATGGTGCACAATATCAGGACTGGGCGGGGGCGGGCGGGGGCGCACCAGCATCGACAGCAGGGACTGCAGCAGGGGGAACCCATAGGTCAATAGAATGGGCAGAAGGGTTATGAGCGGTCCTATCTGCCATCCCCCGCCGCCCTGGCCCCCCAAGTTGCCAATATTGAGGTAAATGAGCATGGTGACGGGCTGTGTGGCCTCCCCTATGGGGATCAGACCCGCAGTGGATGCAGACGAAGGCGAAGGTGTGCCTGTTACGAGGAGGGAAGCCCTGGAACTTCCTGCTGGACACCTCGGTTCGCCGACGTGGCAAGTTCTTCGTTCAGGAAGAGCTGCCCCTACTTCTGCATGCCCTTGGATCGCCTGGCATCACCGGGGAGCAGTATAAACACCGCACCACGGCGTTACAGCCCTCCTGGGCGCAACTCGTTTTGCGGGCTTACAGGCTGGGGCGCCAGCCAGGACGGCTTCAGTCTGGGGGTGCGACGACCACTCTCTTCAGTAGTCTACTGCAAGGGGCGAGTCCATGGACTCCCCTAATCGCCGCAAGTGATCTCGGTGGCCGCATCCCTTGTTGTTGGGACTCGACAGCTTTCGGGAGAGATGAGCGGGATCGATCACTTTATTCAGGTGTGCGCTGCGTGCTGCCGTCATCGGCCGTCCTTTGCCGCCACCGCCCCCGCGCGCTGCCGCACTCGTGGCCTGAGCTTGCTGCGCTGCGACCCCGCTGCTGCTGGCGCAGCTGCTGCGCAAGCAGCGGGAGGAGCGGCATGGCGGCACTGACGCGGTTGCCCGCTTCCTGGTCACCAAGCTGTCTTGGCGGGGCAACTACCGCCGCCTGCTCACCATCCAGCCCACCCACATCACCACCGTGCGTCTTCGCGCATCCGCACCCGCCTGCGTTGCGACCATCTCATGCCGCTGATGGGTGCTGGTCTTACTGAGACAACTGGGTGCTGGCTGGGATGACCTGCGCCTCTCTGGTGCCAGCCCGTGGCTGGGCAGCCCACTGACGTGGCTTCCACATTCTGTCACGACCTCCCTCGCTGCTCCCTCGCTGCCCTCCCCGCTGCCATACTGCAGCTGTACCCCGACAGCCTGGCAGTGACCAACAGCTGGGCGTTTGCGGGCGACCACGACCTGGCGGGTGTGGAGGTGGGGGGCGAGCACGCAGAGGGCGGACTGCTCACCCTGCACTTCCGCCGCGACAAGAAGGTGGGCCGGGTTTGGCAGGGTGTTTGTTGGGCTGGATGAGCTGGCTGGCCACGCTGGCGGGCGCCACACAAGCACCTCCTGGCCTTGCTGTTCAGTCGGGTGCCCAGCCGCTGCAAGGATGCCTGCCAGTCGCTGCAAGGATGCGTGCCAGCCGCTGCAAGGACGCACGTGGCCATGCTGTGCCTGCTGCTCCGCCTGCCGCAGGGCATCAGCTCCAAGGATGTGAGGTTTGCGTGCCGGGACCGTACCGCCCTGCTCAGCCTGCTGTACCGCGGCATGGAGCTTGCCGTGGCGCGCGGCAGCTGCGGCCTGGGCCCCACCGTGCTGGGGTGAGGGAGGCGGCCGCGGGGGGGTGGCACCTGTCGCAGGGGCTGACAATGTGGGGCCTCTATGCAGGCGTTTGTGCTGTCGTGGCGCTTGCTTCTTGACCACTCCAGCTGCTGCTGGCTGTGCGTCCTGGCGCAGGCAGCCGGAGGAGTTCCGAGGCCACAAGCTACGCAAGGGGCGCTGGCAGGCGGTGCTGCTGCGGGTCACGGCGCACGCAGGTGGGGGCAGGGGCCGGTGGGCTGCTTGTGGGCTGGCTTCCTGGATTGTGGCCTGCATCAGCTGGCATGCTGGGAGGCCGGCGGGACGACTCACTCCTGCGTTGTTGGCTCCCTCTCCCACCCTGGGCCTCTGCAGTGGAGCGGGTGGACCCCGGCAGCGGCATGGTGAAGTGGCGGCTGGAGTACCGCCACATGGCGTCGCCCGCAGGTGGGGGTGGCACAACGGGAGGCTGGAAGTGAGGGATAGAAGCAACGGGAGGCTGGATCGCGAGGGAGGGAGGGAGGCAGGAGGGCGCCAGAGGGCAGGCATACCGGCGACAGCGTGCGGTGCTCATGCCGCCGCTTCTTGCATCTGCCGCTGCAGCCCGGCTGCTGGTGCCCGGGGAGGGGCAGCCCCCGGGCCAGGGCGCGTTTGCGCTGTTTGGCAAGACGGGGCGCTCGCCGCGGGTGTACTGCTGCACAGGGCGGGACGGCTTCCTCAAGGCCATGCAGGTGGGGGGGCTGGGTGGGGTTTGCTGGGGCGCGCTGCCTGCAGCTTCGCTCCAGCTGCCGCAGCCCGCTGCTGCTCCACCTGCTGCCGGTGGTGCTGCTTCTGCACTGTAGGCGGGCCTTGCCGTGCGCTGCTATTGCTGCTGCTGCCTCCACTGCTGCCTCCCGCTGCTCTCCCTGTGGAGCGCAGACCGCGGCGCTTCGCAAGCTGGGCCTCACCCTGGCTGTGGACGGCAGCGCGGCGCTGGATGGCGCCTGCCTGCTGGCTGCGGTGGCCGGCGCGGAGCGCGAGCGGGCGGCCTCGGAGGGCGATGCGCCGCTGGGGGAGTGGGAGGTGATGCGGGTGAAGGATCTGTTGGATGCAGGTAAACGGCTGAACTGGGGGTGGGGCGGCAGGGTCTGGGGAGGGGAGGCCGCTGGGCGTGAGCCTGGCTGGGAGCGGAGAAGGGTTGGGGGCAGGCGCGGGTAGGGCAGGTGGCAGGGGAAGTGGAAGACAGGGCATTCAAAGGCGGAAGGTTGGGAGGAGGGTGGGCGAGGCTGTCACCTGCTCTCGAGGCTGTGACCTCGCCGCCCTCTCCCGAGGCCAACCGTCGGGTGCGCGTGCTGGGCCTGGGGCGCCCGCAGGCGACCTGGCGGCCTCCCGTGCGGCGGCCGACGTGGGCGGGTGGAGCGGCGTGGCGCAGCGGCGCCTGGTGCTGACGCGGGGCGGCCTGCTGGAGCGGCGGCCCGGGGACTATGAGGTGAGAGGAGGCGGCGGGGAGGGTCCCGAGCGGTACCGACAGTACCCTCCTGCATGCCGAGCGCGCTGTGGTTGTGCCAGCCTGTCGCCCCGGCCCCTCGCCCTTCCTCCGTCATGCGCCTCGCTTCGCCCCCGCAGGTGGCCGAGTGGCGCCAGCTGCCCGCGGTGGCGGCGCTGGTGCGGTTTGCCGAGGACCCTCAATGGTTAGCTGTGGAGTGGGCAGACGGCACGCCCGCTGCCACCTACGTCACCCCGGCACGCGACGCGCTGCTTGCTGCGGTGCTGGACGCCGCACAGGCGGCGGCTGGGCGCCCCATCCCCGTGCTCAGCCAGCCCACCACGCCTGGGGACGTCATCGTGGTGCAACGGGCGCAGGCGGTGGCGGCGCCTGCCGTGGCCGACGGTGAGCCCGCGCCACGCGGCATCGCGCCCAGGGCACCTCGCTCGCCGCTCCCGCCTGCTGTGCGACTGTTCCTGTGCTCGCAAGCATGCGCATCCACGCCACCCTATCGACCCCTGCCTCTCCGCCCGCAGATGCTGAGCTGGACAAGCTCTGCCTACACCAGCTGAACGCCGCCGCCCGCGACTTCATGGCAGCCGGAGGAGGCTCCACCTCGCTCACAGCGCTCGCACTGGTGGGCCTGACGGCGGCGTCCGCGGCCTCTCCCGCTGCCGCCACAGCCGCAGCCTCAGCGGCATCGTCGGGTGGCGGTGGCGGAGGCGGCGACGCAGCGGCGGCAGAGGAGGCGGGCGCCGAGGCCGGCGGCAGCGGCTCGCCCCATGGCTCAGCCAACAGCCTGACCAGCCTGCTGAGCCCAGGGCCGGCTGCCGCCAGCGGGCGCTCCGGCTTCATGCACCGCGCCTTTGCCCGCCATCCAGCCGGCGGCGGCGGCGGCGGCCCCAGCGGCGCCAGCGCCGGCGCCGGGGCGCACCACGCCAGCGACGGCGCCAGCTCAGCAGCAGCGGCCGACGCCTTTGCCGTCTTCCAGCAGCGGGTGCGGGAGTTCAACGCGTGCGTGCCCTATGCCGGGCTGCAGCCGGGTGAGAGAGAGCAGGACGGCTGCCATACCTCCACTTCAGCCGCCGTGTTTCCCTGCACCTGCACCGCTGCCTGCCCCGCCGTGCCTGGGTCCTGCCTGCCGGCTGCCTGCCTTGTATGTTATGGTGCGGAAGACGTACCCTCTGCACTGCTCTCATGGGAGGTGCCATCTCTGGTACTGCTTTGAACATGGTACCACATTGTACCGCAGGCTGCCGCGTGGACGACGTGGTGATCCTCGCCCTGCTGGCACACCTGCCCCGCCAGCAGCCCTCGGGGCACGGGCTGGGTCCTGACGAGGCGAGGCTCGCGGTGGCGGCCCTGCAGTGCCTGCAGCGCCTGGCGAGCGCCAGCGTGGCGGTATCCCAGGCAAGTGGCGGGCGGTCCCCCTGCAGCCTCACACGATGATGCCATAACAGCTCATGCCGCAGTTGGTGGCTGGTGGCTGGCAGTGCTTACTGTTTGGTTTACGCCCGCTGCCCTCTGCCTCCCGGCCGGCCTGCAGAAAGGGGGAAGTGGCGCGGTGGGCATGTCACAGGTGAGACTCCCGCCTCTGGCCGCCATCCTGCGCCCGGCAGGCTCTGCGTGGCCTTCTGTTGGCTGCCTGCCTGTCGCTGCGGCTGCTTGCATCACCTGGCTGCCGCTGCTGTGCGTGTAGCATCACGCTGCCGTGCGCTGTCCTGCCGCTGCCGCCGTGCAGATCATCGGTGCCGCGGGCGGGGCGGGCCGCATCTTTGCGGCGCTGCTGTCGGGCCACAGCCACGCGGCGGCCGAGGCGGCGCGCCTGCTGCTGCGCTTCTTCGCCCCCGCCGCGGCGCGCAGCGGCGCGGGGCCGTGGGCAGGTGGGCAGGGCTGCCTGGTGGTGTCCCGTTGCCTGCCTGCCTGCCTGCCTGCCTGCCTGCGGTGCATGCAACCGCGCGGGCACCGCTGGCCACGGACCGAGCTGCCTGGCTGGGGCTGTGCTGCAGGGGCTGCGGGGCCCGCACGCGCAGGCAGCGAGGCTGGGGAGCCGAGCGAGGAGGAGCGTGCGGCGGCGCATGCCGCCAAGAGTGTCTGCTTCATCTCACACAGCAGGCGGGCGCTGCTGCTGTCTTATCGGCTCCGTGCTGCTTTAATTGTTCCGCTGCGGCCGCCTTGGCGCTGCTCTCGTCTCGTCCAGCACAGGCATGCCCCCCGCATCACGCCGCGCCCCACCCCGTGCCGCCGACCGCAGGTGCGCGGCGCTGGTGCGCGTGCTGCGCCAGGCGCACGTCGCCCCGCTGCTGAGCATGGCGGTGGCGGAGGCGGCGGCGGCGGTGGTGTGTGAGCCGGGGAGTAGGACCACGGAGCAGTCGACCCTGGAGGCGATCGTACAGGTGGGGGGGGTCTTTCTTCGTCCAGCGGAAGCTGCGTTCCCTGGGCGCTGCGGGCGTTGGAACACAGGCGGAGTGGAGCAGAGTTCCCGTTGCCACCTCCCACCCCTCACCCTCGTGCCTTCCTTGCCGTTCCCTTTCCCTTGGCCCTCATCGCCGTCTGTCCCTCCCCGGCCACCCCCGCAGGAGGCGGCGGCGCTGGGCTCGCCCCTCTTCTCCCTGTTCTCCCACCCCGCCCCGCGCGTGGCGCACGCGGCAGCGCTCATCATGCGGGCGGTGGCGGAGGGCGGCGCAGAGGCGGCGCAGCCGATGCGGGGGGCCGCCCTGACAGGTGAGAGGCTGGGCTGGGCTGGCCTGGGCTGGGCCTGACACGGCTGCCTGCTGCGGTCTTGTGCTGAGATGCCATGCCCGCTGCTCCTGCCTGCACTCCGGCACCGAGTGTCTGCTTCCCTGCCACCAAGCGTTTGCTTCCCTGGGCACCAAGCGTCTGCTTCCCTGCCACCGAGCATTTGCATCCCCATCCCGGCATGCTGTACTGGGTGCAGAGGGCGCGATCCTGACGCACCTGCTGAGCGCGGTGAGCCCGCGTGGCAGGGCGCACAGCGTGCTCAGCAGGGACCTGGTGGCGGTGTGGGCCGACGAGTATGCCCCCGCCCTGGGCCTCCTGAAGCGCATCTTTCCACCAGGACTCATCCGGTACCTCAACCAGCGCCGCCAGCAGCCGCAGCGGAAGCAGCAGCAGACGCAGGAGGCGGCAGCCCCGGCAGCCGCTCCCGTGGCGGGTGTAGGAGACACGGCGGCGGAGCAGCAGCCCGCGGCTGGAGCCGTGCCTGCGGCGGCAGCGGCAGACGAAGCAGGCGGCCTGGCCCAGCAGGCGGCGCAGGCTGCCGCTGGGCAGGCGCCCCCAGCAGCTGGCGGCGACCCTCTGCAGCAGGCGCAGCCACAGCAGGGCCAGGACGTGCAGCAGCAGCAGCAGGAGCAGCGAGAGCAGCAGCAAGCCGACGCTGGCGTCAAGCAGCGCTATCTGGAGCCCCAGCTGCCGCCCCGCCCAGGTGCCCTGCCCACCCCTGGCACCCCGCCTGCCTACCCCTTGGCATCCTGCTGCCACTCGCTGCCTCCACCTTGCCTGCCGCTGCAGCCTATGCCGCATGGCAGCCGCAGCCGCTGCTCACCTGCCTGCTCTGGTGTTGCCGCCTGCCTCCCGCCCCGCAGGCACCCTGCGTGGGAACTGGGAGGCGTTTTGGGCGGCGGTACAGCGGGACCACAGCCATGCTGCCCTGATCTGGAACGAGGGGACCCGAGCTGAGCTGCGGGAGGCGCTGCAGGTGGGGGTGGTCACCAGGCAGGCATGCCTGAGAAGGGCGTTCAGTGCAGTGCCCCATGCTGCACGGCCTGGGTGTTGCAGAGGGGCTGGAAGGTCGCGTCGCTGGAGACGCGTCGCTGCCTGCCTGCCTGCCGCTCCCTGCAGGCGGAGGATGCTTCGCTGCGGCTGGCCCGCCAGCGGGGCGCCGACGCGGCCTCCTTGTCGGCGGCAGACGGCGGCGGCGGCGGCGGCCTGTGCTGGAACCATGCTGAGTTCAGGGTGGCCTACCCCTCGCTGAGGTGAGGTTGGCGGGATCGGCGGCTTGGCATTGATGTGTGGGTAGGTTGCCTTGCATCTGTGCGTGGGGGACAAGGCTTGCAGCCCTGCCTGCGTCGAGGCAGCCCTGCCTGCGTCGCCTCTCGAGGCGCTTGCCCTCATCATGCGCCACACTTGGCCTGACTGCCCGTATGCCCGCTGTTCCCGCTCCCCTGCCGCGCCGCAGCAAGCACCTGTGCATCGGCGGCATCTACGTGCGCCTGCTGCTGGAGCCGGGGCCCGGTAGTGGCGGCGCCGGCATCGTCGAGCGGCTGCCCGCACCTCGCGAGTTCTTCGCCGCAGCCCACCACCGCCTGCTGTGCCTGGGGGACGCCTCGCTGGCTCCCACGGTGGCATCCCTGGCCACAGGCAGCGGTGGCGGCGGTGGCGGCAACGGAAGGGTGGCGGATGCCGACGCGGACCGGGAGCTGTGTGTGCGGGCGATGGCAGCAGCTTACCACGCCCACGCAGGTTGGCCGCCCTGCCGTGTCGCACCTGCCACCAGGCAGCTGACCGCTCGCCCAGCGCCTTGCTGTGTGTTGCACTGCCACCTTGCGTGTTGTCGAGGCTGTCGAGGCCATCGTTTTTGCTGTCCTCTCCTGCAGGCGCCATCGGCCCGGTGGATGGCATCGCCCACCTGGCCGCCCTGCTAGATGCCACACCCAGCAGGGCACTGCGGTGAGCCTCGTGGCCAGCCAGCATCGTTGCAGTTTGCTGCTGCAGCATGGGGGCTGCCTCGCCCATGCTGCCAGGAGTACGGCCCTTTGCCCGCCTCCTCCTGTGCCAAATTTATTTTGCAGGCAGCAGGCGTCCAGCCTTGCTGTACTGACGCCGCTCCTGCTTTCTCCTCTGGCCATCTGCAGGCAGCACCTGCTGCTGCTGTTTGAGGCTCTGGTGGGCCCCAGCATCCTGGCCCGCACCTCCTCCTCCTCCAGCGCAGACAGCAACAGCAGCGCTGGCGGCGGGGCCAGCGAGGCCGCGGTGCGTGCGGCGCACGCCAATGGCGTCGCGCTGGTGGAGGCCCGGGGCGTGCAGCTGATGGTGGATGTGCTGGCGGGTGAGTAGTCTTCTGCTCACATTCAGGCTAGCACTTCCTGCCAGAAGTTGTTGTTCTGTCCGCGCTTTTGTTCCTTTCAAAACTCGTGGCATGTACTTGCTTCCAAGGGACCTGTCCATCTGCCTGCCTGGCTGGCTGGCTGGCTGGCCGGCTGGCTGGCTGGCACAGGCGCACCTGTATCTGTATCGCCCACCCTCTCTCACTGCCTGCCCGGCTTCCTGCCCGCAGGGGCGCACGAGGCATCGGAGCGCCCGGTGGCGGCGCTGCAGACCAACCTCATCGCCGCCAGCAGCTACGCAGAAGAGAGCCGGGAGTGGTACTACTACCATGCGGTACCGCTGACAGGTGCCGGGCAGCAGCAGCCGCTGCAGCAGGACGGGCAGCAGCGCGTGGGGCCGGTCAGCAAAGCCGAGATTCGGCAGCTGCACAGGTGGGGCAGCCGCATGCCGCATGCGGGCTCGCATGCTGCACCTCTGGCCGCTCGTCTGCCGCCTTTCTTGACGCCCCGAAGCATTGGTGCCCTAGCAAGGTGTCCCCTGCTTCTCGGCTGCTCCTCCCTTCTGCTGCAGCTCTGGCACCATCAGCGGCGCCACGCCCTTCTGGACGGCAGGCATGCCCGAGCCACTGCCGCTGGCGGCTGTGCGGGAACTGCGGTGGTGGGTGGCGCGAGGAATAGGTGGGTGGCTGGCCAGGACGGCCATGTGGCAGCTGCGTGCTCACGCACTCAGCTGGACACCAAGCCCCGGCCCCTGCTCCTGCGCCCCCCCTGTGTGCAGGTCCTCTGACGGCGATGCAGGCGGCAGGCGTCGCGCTGCGCGTGCTGCAGGCCTTGGCCGATCAGCAGCCGGCGGTGGACCGGCAGAGCGGCCAGGTGCTGTTCCCGCTGCCGCTGGCGCACCGCCAGATGGCGGCGCCGCCCTGCCTGCCGCACATCGCTCAGGTGTTGCTGGCGGGAGAGCCCTCGCTGGTGGCTGGCGCCGCCACGCTGCTGCTGACGGTGCTGCAGCACAGCCCAGGTGCGCCCCCTCCGGTCTGCCTGCCTGCCTGCCTGCCTGCTTGCCTGCCTGCTGCCCCTGCTGACGTGCTGCAAACGGTGCCGCAATCGCATGCTCGGTGTCACACGTTTGGTGGGACTGTACTGCCCTGTACCGCAGACGGGCTGGCCACGCTGCACCGCACCGGCCTGCACTTCTTTGCGCTCGCCTACTGCGGCAGCAACCTGCGGGAGGTGGCTCGCCTGCTCAAGGTGAGGCGGCGGCCTCGGCAGCAGGCTGGGCCCAGGGGTGCCCGCTCGCCTTCCCAGCTCAGCAGCCTCACACACAGGCCAGCCCTGCCAGCCAGCCTTCCCAGCCAGCACCGCCGCTGAGTCCCACTGCCACTCCCTTGTGCCTGCCCTGCAGGCCTGCCACCTGGCGGCCAGCACCGCCGCCGGCGCCGCCGCCTCTGGCCTGCCGCTGGCCAAGCGCAGCATCTTGGGCGGCCTGCTGCCGGGTGCGGTGCCTGTTGGGAAGCTGCCGTCCAGCTGTGCAGCTGCTGCCGGCCGGCCCTGCCCAGCCTCGCCTCCCTCCCATCCACACACCCACACACCCCGTCACTCCCACCCCGATCCCCCGATCCCGCCCACCCACCTCTGCTGCCTCCCTGCAGAGTCGCTGCTGCACATGCTGGAGAGCTACGGCCCCGACCAGTTTGCCGCCGCCCTGGCCGGCGACTCCGACAGCCCGGAGCTGATCTGGACGCACCGCATGCGGGCGCAGCGCCTGGTGCCGCAGATGCTGGTGCGCGGGGCGGGAGCGCCGCACCATCCCGGCACCACATGCATTCTGGCACGTGTGTCATGGCTGTGCTGCGGCGTTGACAGAAACTCCTGCGTGCCGCGGCCCGCTGTGCCGCGCTGTGCCTGCAGCGCCACCTTGGCGACTTCCCGCGGCGCCTGCGCGAGAGCTGCCATGCCGTGTACGAGTACACGCCCTGCCCGCCTGTGGGCTACCCGGAGATCGAGGTGAGCGCCGGGCGGCATTTTGCTCTTCTGCTGCCTTTGGGAGGAGCCAGGGTGGGGGGTGGGGGTCTCTGGGATGGCAGGTGGGCAGGGAGGGAGCTGCGAGGAGGCGCTGTGTGGGGCCTGGCTGCTGACGCCTGTAAGCAACGATTGCCCCAGGTCCCTCCCTGCCTTACCAAATGCTGCCCGCCGCCTTGCGTCGCAGGGCGAGGTGTGGTGCCACCGATACTACCTGCGCCATCTGTGCGACGAGGCGCGCCACCCCGACTGGCCGCTGGCCGACCACGTGCAGCTGCTGCAGGTGGGTTGGTGGCGCTGGGCAGGCGGGGTGAGCTGGTGTGAGGGTTGTGTGGGGTGTGGCACTGAATGCACTGAGAAGGTAGAAGTGGCAGCGGGGCTGCTGGGGGCCTTGTGTTCAACCCCATGCTAGCCTGTAACTGCTCCCACCTCCCGGTCCCGCCTGCCTGCCTGCCTGCAGTCTCTGTTGGACGAGTGGCGCGCTGAGCTGTCGCGGCAGCCGCTGTCGATGAGCGAGGCGGATGCGTGCGGCGTGCTGGGCCTGCAGCCGCAGGCCGACGGTACGGTACCGGAGGAGGATCTAAAGGCTGCTTACCGCAGGTAAGGGGTGTTCCAACAGTACCATGGTACCACATGGGTCCCAACCTTGGGCTGACAGGCTGCAGCGCGTTATGTGGCTGTGCTTGCGACCTCGTGCAGAGCTGCTTTGCCGCTCCAACATGTGCGCTGCTGCCCTGCCCTGGTGTTGCCTGCGCCGCCCCGCAGGCTGGCCCGCCTGTACCATCCCGACAAGAACCCGGCGGGGCGGGACATGTTCATGGGGGTGCAGGCCGCATACGAGCGGCTGCAGGCGGGGGCTGCGGGCGGGCAGGGGCCGCAGCCCTGGCGCGTGCGCCTCATCCTGCAGGCCCAGTGCGTGCTGTTCAGGCGCTGCCCCGAGGTGCTGGAGCCCTTCAAGTGAGCCCCAGCCGCCCTGCTGTGCGCTGCTCCTGCCATCCCTGCTCGCTACAACTCCTCAAAACAAGCACGCGCCCCAAGGCACTGCGCTGCCCCCACACCCGGGGCCACGCGCCCGCGCCCCACACATTCATGTGCTTGCACCACACGCCCACCTGCGCTGCCGCGGCCGCCCCTCTTGCCCGCCGCAGGTATGCCGGCTACCCGCTGCTGCTGGCCACGCTGCCTGCTGGGCCGGCGGAAGATGGCGCCCACGACGGCTCCGATGCAGGAGCAGCGGGAGCGGCAGCGGCAGCTGAGCACTTTCTGTCGCCGGAAGTTGCGCCGCAGCTGCAGGTACAGTGCCGCCCCTCTAGGCCAGCAATGCACAGCCTGCCGCTACTGCCATCGATGGCTGCCTGTCCTGCTGCGCCGAGGCAATGTATCACCTCACCATCCCCGCCTCACCCCGCCTGCTGACTGCCTGCTGTGCTGCTCCTGCCCTGGCCTCAGGCCGCCACCGAGCTCTGCTGGCTCACCTGCGCCTGCTCTCGGCTCAACGGCGAGGAGCTGACGCGGGCGGGCGGCCTGCGCCTGCTGGGCGGCCTGCTCATGCGCTGCATCGCAGGTGTGTCTGCGTGCGGCTGTGTACCGGGTGCAGGAATGCACAGGATTGGGGTGGGGTGGGATGGGGTGGGTTTGCGATAGGTGGGGAAACGGTGCACGCCAGGCAGCCACAAGGCAGGCAGGAGCTGCAGTAGTGATGGAGTGATGCCTTGGAGCAGCCATGTGGGGGCTGTGCTCGCCCCATAACAACGTGCACCCACTCCTCCTGGCCCCATGCCGGCCCTGCAGTCGTGCCGGCTGACGTGGCGCCGCACCAGCCGGCGGCAGTGATTGCCGCCCACGCGCTGCGGGCTCTGGCCGTGATGGCGGCCTTTGAGAATGCGCGGGCCGAGCTGGAGCACAGCCAGCAGCTGGTGTCTGACGTTGGTGGGTGGGAGAGGGGCTGTGGGCGGGACACTGGTGGGCGGGGCTGGGGAATGCGTGCCAGTCTTCCCTGGCTGCATGCCTGGGGAGGCTAGATAGATAGATACCGTCCAAATGGCATGGCATCTGACTTTTCCTGCGGTGGCGTGGCTGCCCTGTGCGCCTTCCCTCGGCGCAGTGCGGTGCTGCGGGCTGCAGCGCGCACCTGCGGCGGTGGAGGCGGCCCTGCTGTGCCTGGCGCGCTGCTGCGCCAGCGGGAAGCTGCAGGTGAGAAGGGTGTGAGCGGCATGTCACGGTACCACACTGTTGCCGTCTTTGCTCCAAGCCGGGAGCCTTACCATTGCAACCCACCGTGCTGTTGAGAGGTTCAAGTCGAGCCTCCCTTCCTGCCCTCCCTGCCCTCCTCTGCCCAGGAGCTTCTGCTGGCCCGGGGCATGCTGGCCTATGTGGTGCCCCTCCTGCTCTGCTACGACGCCACCCACAGCGATGCCGACCGCGGCGACTCCCAGCTGCAGCACCAGCGCCTGCCCGGCGTGGACGACGCCCCCGCCATCCTGCGCCTGCCGCTGCACCGCGCCAACGCCCAGGCCACCGCCAACCTGCACGCCCAGCTGGCTGCGCGCGCCCTGGCGGCGCTGGCTGGCTACCCGCCGCCGCCGGAGGGCGAGCAGAGGGAAGGGTCTGGCACGCCGGCCGCGGCCGCGGCGCCCACGCCGCCCTGCCCGCCGGCGCAGCGCACGCTGGCGGCGCTGCTGACGGTCACGCTGGCCCCGCGCCTGGGCGCCGCCGATCCCCTGCCGCTACTGCGCGACCTTAATAGCGCGGTACAGACCCCCCATGCCATCTGGAACGGCGCCATGCGGCGCGAGCTGCTGGAGCTGCTGGAGGAGCAGCGGCGCACGGCGGCCGCCGCCGCCGCCACCGCGGAGCCCGCGGCGGCGGCGGCGGCCGCCGAGGCGGCCTCTGGGTTCACGTACCAGGCATGCCGTGCCTGCTGCGCCTGCTACCCTGCCTGGCTACTTTTTCTTCGGGCGGGACAGCAAGGCCTACTGCTGTGCCTGGCTACGCTGCCCAAGCCGCAGCTCGTGGCGGCCCACCACCAGCCTGCGCTCAGCCCTGCCAGCCTGCCCGCTCTGCTTGCCGCCGGCCCTGCCTCACCTGCCGCCCGGCCCGTGCCCGCCTGCGTGCAGTGCCTGCGCGGCGAGCTTGTGGTGGCGGGCGTGTTTGTGCGCGTGTATGTGGAGCAGCCAGACTTCCGCCTGGCCGACCCGCCTGCCTTCTGCAAGGCGCTCGTCACTTACATCTACCAGCAGCAGCAGCAGCAGCAGCAGCAGCAGCAGCAGCAGCAGCAGGGCCAGGCGGCGGCAGGCCAGGAGGCGGCCGCGGACGGCGCCGGCGCCGGCGGCGACGGCCCGCAGCGGCGGCACCTGCTGCAGGCGCTGCGCGCGCTGAGGCTGGTGCTGGAGGGCTCGCCGCGCCTGCTGGGCCTGCTGGCCACCAAGCCGGCGGTGGACCCCCTGCTGGAGTGCCTGCGCCCCGCCTGTACCGCCGGCCTGCCTGGCGGTACCGCCTGGGCCGCCGCCGCGGCCGCCAGCAGCAGCGAGGCGGCAGCTGCGCTGGCTGCATCGCCGCCCGTCTGGGCGGCGCCGCAGGCCAATGCCGCGGCAGCCGACGGCGGCGGCATCGGCGGCGTCAGCTCTGCTGACCTGGAGGTGGCGGAGCTGGCGCTGACGGTGCTGCTGCGCCTCACGGCGCACGCAGGTGCGCATGGCTGGCGTGCCTTCACCTGCCTTGTGCTGCTGGCTGGCCGCCTCCCTTCCTTCAAGCGACTCAGTGCCTCGCGTCCCTGCCTTCCCATCTGCCTCCGCCCACCCTCCTTCACCCTGCAGGCTGCATCGATGCCTTATCCCAGGACAAATGCTCCACCCAGGCCTACTGGCTGGCCCACCGGGCTCCCACCACAGGTGGGGCGCCGGGCAGCCAGACGGCAGCGGCGCTGGCACCTGTCCTGCCTGCCCTGCCTGTCCTGTATTGCTCTCACATGGCACACAGCCAGCTTCCCGCTGAGCCTTGCACTGACCTCCCCGCGCCCGTTGGACCCCCACCCCCATCTGCAGCGCTGCTGATGCTGGCGCTGCGCCTGCTGCACGCGCTGGCGGGCACCGCAGCGTGCGCCTGGGGGGCGGCCGCCCACAGCGGCACCCTGTACCTGCTCACCCTGCTGCTGCCCACATACGCTGGTGAGCAGTGCGTGGGCCAGGCTTCGGTCGCCCCAATGTCGCTGTTGGGGCTTGCTTTCTGAGAATACTCATGCTGCTGTGCTTGAAGGGGAGGAGCCGCTTCAGCTTACTGAGCAATCGGTAGCCACGCTTATTGTAAATTTGGCTCACCAGTTTTTGGCTCACCACCCACTCCTCAACACCACGTCTCATGCCCCCACCTTTTGCCTGCAGTGCCCGAGGAGGAGCGGGAGGCGTTTGAGGCGGTGCGCGTGGCTGCGGCAGCGCTGCTGGCGCGGCTGGCCGCGCACTCCCTGCACGGCGCACGCGTCACCCTCATCCTCAGGTGAGACCAGTGTGCAGCGGCCTGAAGGCCTGCTGCAGGCACCCAAGGCCCGAGAAGCGAGACGCACGCAGCAGCTCCAGCCTCCCTGCCTGTGGGCGCGTTACTTTGCCACAAGTGGTTGGCAGGACACGGTCACAGTTTTGCGCCATGCTGGTCCTGCTGTTGCCCGCTGCAGCAAGCTGCTGCCGCCGGGGCTGGTGTCGGCGATTCAGGATGGGCCGGGCGAGGCGGCGGTGGTTGCGCTGGGGCAGGCCAGCGAGTCGCCCGAGCGGGTGTGGAACCGCAGCATGCGGGAGGCGGCGGCCGAGGAGATTGCGCACCTGGCGGCGGCGGCCCGTGCCCAGCAGGTAAGCCATGGTGCCAGGAGGTTGGTGCCAAGGGAAGGTGCATCCATGCGTGCTTGAGTACAAAATCTGGCACCACAAGGCTGCCAGCAACGTGTGTGGACGCCTGTGCGGTGATCCAGCCGGCTGTGCTGCTGCTGCTGCAGGCGGGCGGCACGCTGGAGTGGCAGCTGCCCGACGGCTTCCGCATGCAGTACCAGGAACTGGCGGGGGAGCTGATGGTGGGGGGCGTGTATGTGCGGCTGTACCTCAAGGATCCGCGGTACCCCCTCAGGTGGGAGGGCACCCACCCCACTCACACACACCTCGAGTCCCTCTAGCGCTGCCCTGCTGCAGCTCTTGCTGGCTGCCATTCAGGCGCGGGGCCTGAATCAGATGCCTGCGCCCCAGCCCAGTTTGCACTGCGCTGTGTGCATCCTCCCCTCATACCTGCAGGAGCCCAAAGGCGTTCCTGGAGGGCCTGCTGGAGCGGTACGTGTCCCAGGTGCAGCGTGGTACGCCCGGCGCCAGCCTGGGCAGCCCCTCCAAGCCCTCCTCCGCGCTGGCGCTGGCCCCCGGCTCCGCGCCGCCGCCGTCGGTCGCCGCCGACGTGCAGCAGGCTGCTGCGGCGGCCGCCATGGGCGGGGACCTGCCGCTGCTGCTGTCGGCGGCGGCGGTGGCGCTGCTGCAGGCGCAGCCCGCGCTGGGGGAGCACGCCGTGGCGCTGGGGTATATGGAGAAGCTGGTGCGGCTGCTGGCGGCGCGGGCGCCGCCGCTGCCGGCGGGCACCATCACCGCGGAGCTCCTGGAGGGCGCGCCGCCGCTGCCAGGTGGGCCGGGCTGCGGGGACGCGGCACCCGGGATGCACTCCCCCTGCCTGCTGGAGGCTCCTTGCGCCAGCTCCTGCTGTTCTGCTTCTGCTTCAATGCGGGCTTTTGCTGAGTTCCACAGGGCCAGGCCGGTTTGGCACCTGCCGAGCTGCGCCATCCTGTCTCCACGCCTCCCACCCTGCTGCCGCTGCCGCCCCTCCCCCCGCCGGCTGCTGCAGACGACCTCAGCGGCTCCCTGCTGCGCCTGCTGCACCAGCTGGCTTCGTGCGGGGCGGCGGCCGAGGCGCTGGCGCGCTGCGCGCCGCCCGCGGTGCCGCCGCTGCTGGGGGCCATGTGCTGGGGCACGGGGGCGGCGGTGCTGTCGCTGGAGACGCTCAAGCGAGCACTGGCGCCCTCCAACCGCTGGAGGGACAGCCTGGTGTCTGGCTGCCTCAGGCAAGCGCGCCGCCCGCTGGGGGCAGTTTTGCGCTGAGCTGGGGTTGCAGGCGGGCCCTGGGCTGCGTCGGACGTCTGCTGGAGCCGAGCCTGCTTGAGCTTGCTTGCCTGCTGGGCTGCGCCGAGCTGAGCGGGTGCCCTTGCTGGTGCTGCAGCGCGGGCCTGGTGCCGCTGCTGCTCCACCGCCTCGACTGGCGGCACGGCCAGCGCGGCCAGGAGGGGCAGGAGGTAGGCCGCTGCCGCCACGCCGCTGCCTTCAGCTGTGCTGTTTGGCCGTGCTGGGCACCGCGCAGAATCGCCGCTTCCCCTGACCGCCTTTCCACTGACTTGGCTTCACATTGCGGCTCACATTCTGCCTGCCGCTCATGCCTGCCTGCCCCGCCCCGCCCCCACCCCCGCCTGCCCGCAGGAGCGCGACGCCTCTGTGCAGCGCGTGCTGACCGTGGACCTGCTGAACCTGCTGGCGCTGGTGCAGCAGGAGGGCGGCGGCGCGCCCGGGGAGCGCGTGCGCGCACTGCTGGACGCCTCGGGTGCGGCTGCCGCTTCCGCTGCTGCCACTTGTTGCCTCCCTCCTCGCCCCAGCCTCCCCTTGGAGCCTCCCTTCCTGCCAGCTGGCCAGCTGGAGGTGCCCCCTAGGGCTGCCCGGGCCTAGCCTGGGGTCCAGCTGGCCTGGTGTGCAGCTGTGGCCGTCATCACGTGCTGTCGCCGTCGGCCGCTGCCCTCTTCCTGCTGCAGATGTGTGGGGCGCGTACCGCGGCCAGCGCCACGACCTCTTCCTGCCGTCCGGCGGCAGCCACGCCAGCGGTGAGTGGGGGCGGCAGCAGCATGCTCTGCAGTGCATCCGGTGTGTCCCCGGGTGGCTGGGCCCAGCTGGCTTGGCGCCTGCATCTGGCTCAGGCCTCCTGAGGCGACACGCGCTGCCAGTGAGTGACCCGTCGCATGCCCTGCCCTGGGGCCCTGCTGGTGCTGGCGCAGGCGTGGCTGGGCTGCTGCAAGGACCCGAGGCGGCACGCTATGCCCTGCCCCCCGCCCTGACCAGCCCGCCGGCGGCGGCGCCCGCCAGCGCTACCGTCGCAGCGCCGGCGCCCCCAGCGCCGCCGCCAGCAGCAGCGCCCGCAGCAGCACCTGCACCGGCAGCAGCGGGAGCGGCAGCAGGGCCGACTGCCATGGCGCCGCCGCCTCCAGCACCGGTTCTGCCAGCTCCTGCAACCCTTCCGCCCGTGCCTGCCGCTTCACCACCTGTGCGGCAAGCTGGCACCCCGGCAGCACCACCAGCAGTACCATCTTTAGCACCAGAGGCAGCCACGCCACCACCCGCTGCCGAGCTTCCACCACCGCAGCAGAAGCAGCAGCAGCCACCCCCTCCGCAGCAGCCGCAGCAGCGGCCGCAGCAGCAGCCGGCACCGCCGCCGCAGCCGGCGCCTCAGGCGGCTGTTCAGGATCCTCTTGCAGCAGGGGCAGCGACGCCTGCTGCCCAGGAAGCCCCACCACAGCGCCCTCCGCCGCCCGCGGCAGCAGCACCTGCACGAGCTGCCTCGGTGCCTGCCCGGCCAGCCCCCGTGTCACCTCCTGCTGCGGCTTCCCCTGCCGTGCACCGGGTGGCGCTCCCAGCATCGCCTTCCCCTGCAACTGCCTCTGCTGGTGCAGCCCCACCGGCACCACCGGTGGCCGACCCATTGCACGCGAGCCCCACCCTCGCTGACCCCTTCAGCCCTGCGCGCAGCAGGCAGCGCGGAGCTGCGGCGCCGCCGCCTGGAATCGGCGGCAGCAACGGTGACTTGGGCCCCCTAGGGGGCCAGCCACCAGGCAGCAGAAGCCAAGGTGTGGGCGGCGCTGGCAGCTCGCCGGGCGGGCAGAGCAGCAGCAGCACAGACAAGGATTATGGGCCGCTCGGGCCACTGGGCTGACGCGGTGAATCCGCGCTGCGTCCCCAGCCTGTCTGTCTGTCTGTTCCCAGTCCCATCCATCTGATTGCTGGGTGTATGTCTCAAGCGACCATAGGGCTGTAACTGTGCCTTGCCATTAGCATCAAGGGGATGCGGCCTCGCTTGAGGGGGCGGGGGTGGGCAATGGCGGCTGGGCGGGGGGACTACATTACGTGTAGTACTGTGCTACCGCCGCCTTCCTTTCTGGCTTTTAATCGGCTAGCGGTCTGGTCTCCCGCTTGCAGAAGCCTTCCTCATCACTAGCGTACTCTCCACACCTGCTAGGTAGGGTACCTGAAAGGGCGCCCTCTGTGTGTCGCGCTTCCTGCGGGTGGCGCCATTGTCTGCCTGCCTGTGATCCCCGCCAGAGCTAAACGTCGCCCCTCGAGGGGGCAGCCCCAGCTGGGGGATGGTGCACGTCCACTACAGGAGCCCATTGGCCGCGCTGCTTGCAGCGGCGATGCTTGCAGGCAAGTGCATGTGCGCAGGATAGCGCAGACGCAGCGCGAAACTGGGTTGCCTGAGGCCACCCCAACGCCATCAGTGGACGGACCTCGCCTGAGCCCTCCCAGGACCGCAGACGCACACTCGAGCGAAGGAGCAGGCCCGGGTGGCTCCGTTACGTCGGCGGGGGCGAAGTCCCCGCAAAAATTACCCTGCCTAGGCCAGGAAGGCCAGGGTGGCCAGCGCCAGGGCCATCAGCATGGGCGTACCGGCGGCGGCGCCGATGGCAGAGCCGGAGGCGGGCTGGGGGGCGGGGGCGGGGGCGGGGCCGGAATCTCCACCTGCGCACAGAAACGGGCGCAGGAGAGGGGCCGGGCCCTCAGCAGGCATTCCCACGCTTCATCAGAAGCACGGCCGTGTGCGAGTTGCACTGTACTGCGTTGGAAGAGGTGGTCAGTCCATCCCCCAACCTTCGGCCCCGCCCAACACATGCATCCCCAGCACACACACCACGCACACACCAGCCCACCCTGCTCCGCTCACCCCCGTTCATGGTGTCGTTCAGGCGGTTGAGCACGGCGGCCAGGTTGGCATGCACCTCCTCCAGACTTGCCTCCAGCCCCGCCTCCTCGGCCACCACCTCGTCCCCGGCGAGCCAGTAAATGTCGAAACCGGTGCCAGAGCTGTTGACGCCTGCAGGCGTGAACAGGGCAGGCCCACCAGCGGGAGGCAGTTGGCAGGCGCCCCAGTCGGGCTGAGACCAGGCTGCAGGCCTCCAGGCGCACACAGCAAAGCGGGCGACACAAGGGCAAGCAGCGGTGGCAGCCGCACGCACCCTGCTTGGCAGCCTCCAGGCTGTCGCTGTTCAGCGTGGTGACGAGCCTGACAAAGACGGGGATGGGTTCCCCGCTGGCCTTGACGACCAGGGGCCAGTACTGCAGGGGGGCATGGACGCAGCAAGAAAGTCTGTGCTGCAAGCTTGTTCTTGGTGAAACCACGCTGCAAGCCCACACAAGCACGCAGGGTTGGGAGATCGCACAGCCGGGTGGCAGTCAGGGCTCGGCCGCTGGATGCCACGGTGCCATGCCACAGCCAGAAAAGGCCCATGGTGGGCCAGGGAAGGGAGGCCAGGCTGGATCATCTGCATGGCGGGATGCCGCACCTGGTAGAAGGCAAACCCAGGAGAGGTGGTGTTGGCCACGCTGTCGGGGCTGGGCACCCAGGTAGCAAAGCTGGGCAGCAGCTCAGCCACGTCTGCAGCACAGCGGGAGAGGCGCGTGGGAGAGGGGGCGTGCATGCGCACACGTGCCCCGGCAGCACGCCACAATGCACAGCACGCCCGTGCATGCCAGGCGGCTGCGAGCACGGCGCGGGCGCGGGGGTTGGTGGCGGCGCGGGCATGTGGCATGGTTCCAGCCTGAGCCGCGGCCCACCCACCCTCGTAGTCTGTGATGGAGAGGCCGGGGGGCGGCGGCGTGGTGGAGAAGGTGAATGCCTGAGGGATCTGGACTGTGCAGCCCAGGACGTAGAAGGCAAAGTCGACGGAGGAGTTGGAGGAGAGGGTGGTGGGCTCGGTGATGTTCAAGGCCTGCTTGTGGGGGTGGGCAGGCACGCATGCTGTGTGTGGGCCTGGGTGCAGCGTGCGGAAAAGGTGCGGGGGCACCAAGCGCGAGAAGGTCGAGTTAGCAGCTGCTGCTGGCGGCCTGCCTGCCCCCCTCTGCAAACCTCGTAGTCCACAAAGCTCAAGACAGCAGACACGTGGGAGCCGGTGCCGCTGACGTGGAAAAACTGGCGCTTGAAGACGCCAATCTCTGCACCAAGCAAGGCGGCGCAGGCCAGGTGAGAGCCGTGGGGCGCCGCCGACCCACCACCCGAGCCCTGCAGCCACCCACGGGGGCGCTGCCCGGCTGCGCTGCGGGAACACATGCACAGGGCGACGCCGCGGTGGTGGGGCCGGCACCCGCGCCCTCCGCTTCTACGCCCCCCCTCCCTCCCTCCCTCCCTCCCTCCCTCTCGCCCACCATCGTTAGGGATCAGCTCATCAATCACGTCCTGCCCGAATATCTCTGAAGCCGGAGAGGTGAGGTTGAAGATGGCTCCGTAGGAGGCGTAGGGGCTGGTGACCTCCGCCTGGTCTCGGTACTCGTAAGTTCCAAACGTCAGGGAGCTGCGGCAGCGGTCGGGACGCACGACGCCGTGCTGCGCAGCGGAGTCAGCCGGGGCAACCCCTGTGCTGGGGCCAAGCTCAGCCGCCACACCTGCCCCCCGTCCCCGTGCTCGCAAGCGCACACCCCAAGCAAGCAATCCTCCAATGATCCAAGCCTCGCGGGAGCGAGCCAGACGAAAAGCGGCGAGCCCGCGGCGGCAGCCCGGCGCAGGCCGCGCCTCACGGATCGATGGTGAAGAGGTCGCTGGCCTCGAAAGCGGTGGTTAGCCAGCCCGGCACCTTGCCCATCATGTCTGGCTGCATGAAGTCGTCCACCAGCGGCCCGCTGAGCTGGAAGTTCCATGTGGCGGGAACCGGCTCGCTCGTGTTCATGTACGGGCAGTCGCTGGCGGCGCGCGCAGTCCAGGCGCCCGCCGCCAGGATGAGGAGCAGCGCGGCGGGTGCCGCGAGGCCTGCAGGCACCACAGCCCAGGGGGGTGGTCTCCGCCACCCCCGCTTCCGCAGTCCCGCCTGGGCGGCTCCTCCTGCCCGCCAGGGGGAGCAGGCGGCGGGCCGAGAGGGGTCGATGCGGCAACCAGCGCCCACCTGCAGGGTGCCTGGCCATTCCGGGGCCTGAGTTGGTTTGTGTCCAATTGAGATCACTCGCTGGGTGAACGATTAGTTCGTAGATACCTCCACCCCAGGACAGCACGAGTGCTTCTCGATCGATGCGGGTGCTGGAGGACAGAGCCGCAGGATGGGCGATTTTTGGCACCCCGCCGACGTGGCCAAACTTGGCTGCCAAACTTGGGCACAAACCAGACTCTGTCCCGGACGCTTCTGCGGTGGTTTGTGAGCGATCCCTGTGCCAGTTAGAGCAGCCAGGCGGACAGGTGAGGCCTGGCGATATGCTATCTTCGCTCCATGGCAGTCATGCAGGCTTTGGCAGCTCCACGCCGCTCCCTGTGCGGCCCTCAAGCTCTAAGGTCGAGCGACGCTCCCTGGCGACGCTGCAGGAGCTAGTGCCGCCGACACCGCCCTGCCGTCCCGCCATTCCGGGAGCTCCCCCTGCAACAGACCCCAAGAAGCGCAGCAATGGAGAAGGCCCGAGTTGCGATAGCAGCCGCATCTGCATTCTGTGCCGTGGTGTGGTCGTATTCGGTGTTCAGCTCTCACGGTAATGTGCCAGACCCGGCCACGCTTCCATCGGCCGCCCACCGACCTGCGAGCACCTGAGGTAAGTGAAATGGCGAGGCGCCCCTGCATTTGCGCGCAGCCTCTGGCGAGGGCATGCCGTGAGATTCTTCTGACGCACGCTGCAGGTGCTTTGCCACACCCACCACCCCATCCCGCCTTCCAGAGACGTAGGCACCCAAGAACGCATCCACACACGTTTTCTTTTTCCCTTTTTCCTGCCCTGTTTTTTTCGCTTGGGGCGAGCCCGACATGAGGAAAGCCCTGACAGTTTTGAGTGGTAGCGATGAAGGCATCACTTGCTGCTGCAGACCTCTCCATCTCCCTGCATCTGTTGCCATCCAAGTCTGCCCACAGAGCAAGCATCGCATGCGAACTTCCTATCCCTCCCCTTCCGCACGGTTTGGTTTTTGGTTAATAGAGTTTTTGTTTGTGTCTTTATCAAAGCGCCCCATTGATCATTTGAGAGAGCACACCTGCTGCCAGCTCAGTTCGTGCCTACAGTCTGCGCCGTGTTTGTATTTGCCTGAAGACGGCCTTGCCACCGCGGAATGCATGCCGCTCCCGGTCCGGACCTCTGCTTTTCTTCTCATTCCACATCGTCTGCTACTATGACTATGGTTCGGGATGCTGTAAACTACAGGTTGCCATAGAGCGTGAGACCAGGACCACAGAGGAAGCGGGCAGGGGATGCCCCATGTGGTGGGTGGCCCCCTGTTCTGCACAGCCAAGATATTGGCCGTTCCAGTTGGCCGTTCCAGCATGCCTCCTGCGGCTAGCCGCCGCCGCCACCCTGGCGGCGCACTGTCAGCGGTGCTGCTTTCCAGGCGCCAAACAGGGCGGTTTGGGCCCCGCCCCCCACCCCCATCGCCATCCCACTCGCGCTCGATCTCCTCCGCTTCGCCTGAGCCGTCCTCCCCTTGCCAGCAGCTCGCCCCGCCCCATCTCTGCTCGTTCCAGCGGCCTGAACGCAGCCCCGCCATGGATCAATTTGGGGAGACGGTAAAGGAGTTCGGAAAGAACTCGCTCCGGTGAGGCCGTCTGCCTGGGCGCCTGTTTGCCGGAGGCATCCGTTCGCCAGTTCATCGCGGCTCACCGCCGCCCGTCTCCCCGCAGGCTGGTGAAACGGTGTCAGAAACCTGACCGGGTGAGCGGGGGCCCCTCGATCGGGGTGGCCAGCCCGCGCCATCACTTGCCCATTTTGCTCTGGCTTCCTCCTTGGGGCAGCACCTCAGTGGGTGTGGCAGCAACCAGGCAGCCGGTAGACATCCGGCAGCCAACGGCTGCACTAGGGGGCGGGTGCCCGCGGCTGGCCCGGGCTGAGTGGCTGCTCTTGCCGCCACAGCAGGTGTCCCTGCGGCAGCCAGGCAGCAGAGGCCTCCTGGAAGGGTGGCAGCACAGCTTTCGCGTTACACACTGCGCATGGGGGCAGCGCCCAAGAGCAGACTGCCCTTTGCTTCACTGCCGGCACTCACTGCTCACCGCCCGCAGAAGGAGTTCACGAAGGTGGCAAAGCTGACGGGCATTGGCTTCCTGGCTGTGGGCCTTATCGGCTTTGTGGTCAAGGTCATCTTTATCCCCATCAACCAGGTAACGCCACGCAGCGGGGGCACGGCGGTAGGGCCAGACACCAACGCCGCGGATCACTTCTTGCAGTTTGAAGTAGCGGGCAGGAGGAGGCGCGCAAGGTGGATGCATGCTGCCCTGCCCTCGATTCCTCGCCGCTGCTGCGCCTGGTGCAGATCATCATTGGCACGACCAGCAGCAGCTAAGCGGCAGCGGCAGCGGCAGCAGCAAGGAGCCGGATGGTGCGGCCACGGCGGCACCACCGGCCGGGCCGGCGCGCGGCTGCTGCCTCCTTGAGCGGCCCCATCTTCCCTGACGTACCCCCTTGACACACAGAGAACTACCAGAACTGGCCCACTCGCTTGATTTTCACTAGAGAATGTGTAAACAGGTCACTGATGCGGTCTGGCGGCAGTGCAAACCATGCGGCGGCAGGGTCAAACAGGCGGCGGGACGGCATGCAGACGCAACGTGCCAAGCAGGTCTGGGGGATGTCACATGACAGGCAAACGCGGGCATGGTGTGCTGCTCACGCGCGCGCACAGGCTGTTGCAACTGTGGCGGTGCCACCCACACCCCACACCCCGCCTCAGTCCCTGGGGGAGCGGGAGCGGCTGGGGCTGCGGCGAGCGCTCCGGCTGCGCCCCTTGTAGGGCGAGCGGCTGCGGGTGCGCTCGCGGCGCCTGCGCGGCAGGGAGCCGGGTGCGGCATGCAAGTCAGCACAGCGCCCTACAGGCAAGGCAGGTCGGTGCAGCTGGGCGCAACCACAGCAGGGCCACCACAGCAGGGCGCCCAGCAGGCCGGCAGCTTGCAGGGGGCAGGGCTATGCAGCAGGCGCGGCGGAATGATGAGCTACCCAGCATATGCGCGCGTGCTGGGGCCAAGCACCTGTCAGGGGAGGGGCTGCGGCGCAAGGGGGAGGGGCTGCGCCGCACCGGCCGCGGGCTGCGGCTGCGGTCGTAGCTGGGGCTGTGCCGCCGGCGCTCCATGCTGCGGGAGCGGGAGCGGCCGCGGTAGCGGTCGTCGCCGCCGCCCCGCCCGCCGCGGTCCTCGAAACGGTCGCGGTAGCCGCCGCCGCCGCCGCCAAAGCCGCCGCCGGGGCCGCCGGGCCCGCCGCCGCCGCCATAGCTGCCTTTGTTCACGACATACTCCACTGCGGTGCGGGCGAGGCGGCAAGGAGCGGCGTGGGCAGGTGCACTGGCAGGCATGGGCGCCATGGGGGCCGCTGGCAGACCAGGCAGGCCCGTCTGGTGAAGCTTGCCACCAGCCTGCTGCGGGTGCCAGCTCAGGCGGCGCGGCGGCGCCCACCGGTGATCTCGCGGCCGTTGATGCGCGAGCCGTGCAGCTGCTCGCACGCTTCCTTGGCGTCCTCGATGCGCTCAAACTCCACAAAGGAGAAGGTCTTCTTGATCTCGCAGCGCTGCAGGTGGGGGGGCAGGCACCGGGGGGGCAGGCAGAAGCAGGCGGCAGCCAAGCAGGTGTTGGCGCGCAGCCAGGCCAGTGCAAGGGCCAACCCCCTCCCCTCCTGCCAGCCCTCGCTCCAGGGCATTGGCAAGCCAGCCCTGCAAGGAATGCCTGCGTGACGCACCACCCCAACACAGCCGGCACACCACGTGGCACGCCACCCCACCAAACCACACACACCCCACACAGCCTGGTGGCGGCTCACCACCAGGCGCCCAAACTCCTCAAACGCCTTCTCGATGTCGCGGGTGCGGATGCCGCGCGGGTCAAACCCCGCCACAAACAGCGTGCGGTTGGGGTCGGCGCTGTTGCGCCGTGCCTTCTCCCGCTCCCGCACGTTGGCGTCGTTCTTGGCGAATTCCACCCGCAGGCGGCGGCGCAGGCGGCCCCACTCGCGCCTGCAAGGGAGGGGCGGGGCACGGGGAGGAGCGGGCGCATGGGTTGAGAGGGCTGGGCGGGCGGGGCACGCGGTGGGGAGAGGGGGCAGCGGGGCGCAAGAGCCCAAGGCACACGACCGGAACTGCAGGCACAGCAGCAAGCCACGTCAGCCTGGTTGCCCAGCCTGGCTGGCCTGCTCACCCGTCCAGGGCGTGGATGGCGTCCTCAGCGTCACGCTTGTCCTTGTAGTGCACAAAGCAGAAGCCTGGATGAGAGGAGAGGAGGGGGCGGCAGGGCGAGGGGGGGAGGGACGGCGCGGATGTCAGGGCCGGGTGGCACGATGGCGGGTGGAGGATGAGAGGAGGGTGGAGGGGAGGGCCTTGGGCGTGGGCTTGAGTGGGCGGGCCATTTCTGGTGTGGCAGCCAGCAGCGAGGCACCCGGAGCAGCGCCAGGCTAGGGATGGCGCTGGAAAGGCGCGGTTTTCGGTGGGGTGAGGGCGACGCGTGGCCGGCCGACGGCAGTATTGCCCACTGGGGATGGCAGGTCGGCAGGACGGCGACGCAGAGGGCGGCGGCGGAGCAGTCGGGATGCCAGGGCAGCCACAGATGACAGACGACGACAGGGCAGAGGTGCACTGGGTGAGCCCGGGGCGGCGGGAAGAGCGGTGCGGGTTGGACGGAAGGTTGCACCGGCAGCGGCGGCGTGGTGTGGTGCGGCGACAGGGAGGCGTAGGCGGAAGGCAGCCGGGAAGTGATGTGCACGTGGAGGGAGGAGGACGAACGCAGGGTAGAAAGGTAGAGCGGCGGCGCGTGGTTCAGGCGGCGACGTCAGCAGCGGGGCCTGCGGCTCTCCCTTGCCGCGCGGGGCGTTGTCTGGGAGGCAGCAGGGGGTCAGGCATACCGGACTTGTACTCTACGCGCTCCACGGGGCCGTACTTGTCAAAGGTCCTCTCCAGCTCCCGCTCGCTGGCGTCATACTCGTAGTTTCCCACGTAGACTGCACCGGGGCACGTCAAGCAGCCCATCTGGGTGTCAGCAGCCTTCGCAGCGCGCGGCAGCGCACCAAATCCTGATGGCTTGCCGCTGCACCCCCATCGCCCACAGCCAGCGGCTCACCAGGAGGCTGCATGGTGGGTGAGCTGTGTTCGGCCTCTGTTAGGTCGCACACAGGCTCTCCGCGAAAGGAGGGCGACGATGAGGGCGTGCCCAGGCGTGGGAAGCGAGCTGGTGGCACGCCGCTTCTTGGCGACGAGTGTACTACCCTCGGTTTCGCGCGGCAGAGAAAGAGCCACACCGTACCGCAGGAGGAGCACTACATTCTCAGATGCCGGCATGCATTGCCATTGGCCCAGCTGACGATCTCACAGTGACGGGCAGATGAAAACATCGATCCACGTGCTCGGAGACAATGGTTACGTCTGGGATGCCGACGGTGAATGCCGCTCGCGCCCCGCTGCTGCTCTCCAGCCCACTGCGGCTCGCCCTG